GGATTAGGTCATCGGCAAAAAATAAATGAGAGAGAGAAACTTGATTGTTACCAAAGGAGAGAGCCTTCCATCCTTCAAAATTAACTTAAATATTAATTGCGTGTGAGAGTCTTTCCATACACATTACAAAGACATACGGGAGAAGGGATCTCCTTGTTGAACTCCCCGGTTAGGCTTGAAAACTTCATCCATTTTGCCATTCCAAAGTACTCGGGTCAAACCTGTCTTGAGCGAGCTGAGAAAGATGTTGTATAGATATGGAGGGATCGTTGTATCCTTCATGGTTTCTTTAATAAAATCCCAACGAACATGGTCAAAAGCTTTAGTTAAGTCAATCTTTAGAGTTATCCAACCCCTGGCTCCTTTGGCTATTCGCATCGAGTGGATTGCCTCTTGGGCTACGATTATGTTATCAATGATGTTTTGCCATTTGATGAAACTTATTTGAGCTGGTGAAATGAGGGTCAACAACACTCTTTTGAGTCTATTCGCCACAACTTTGGAGATTATTTTAGCTAAGACGTTGATGAGACTTATTGGGCGAAGATTCTGGAACTGTTCCAGGAGATTCACTTTTGGTATGAGAACTATCATCGCTTGGTTGATATCTGGGTTGATCTGACTAGTGTCGAAAGCCTCCTTGACCATGTTGCAAACCGTATGACCGACTATGTCCCAGTTATTTCTATAGAAGGGCCCCCCGTAACCATCAACCCCGCCAGCCTTTTGCGGGTCCATCTCAAAAACTGCAGCCCTAATGTTTTCTTCTTGGATCTTTTCACCCAACATGTAGAGTTGTCTTGGGGATAGGCTTGGAAAATGTCCTTTTACGTGATAAAAGTGATTTTCGTCATTGGAGGAATCTGTGTATATCTCTTTAAAAAAGTAGTGGTTGCTGCACTCAGGAGCATAGGATCAATGGACCAACAACCATCTTCCAATTGCATTTCAGTAAGTTTAGCTGTTGCATATTTGCACATGTGAGATGCGTGAAACACCCTGGTGTTGCGATCACCCGTTTGGAGCCAAAGGGACCCGCTGTTTTGGGCTCTTAAGCTCTCCTCCTGAGTTACTGTTTTTTCAAGATCCTCCCTTAGCTCTTTTTCCAGCTTTAACAGATTTTCTGAATGATGATTTGCGAGAGCTTTTTGAAGTCCAGTCAGCCTCGCCAAGGTTCGCCTTTTCTGCTTAAAAATATTTCCAAAAATATAGTACTTCCACTCTTCAAGATTGTTGGTTAGTTCATCCATGGCTTCAGAGAGATTGACATTGCTATTCTAGGATTTAAGAAGCCACTGTTTCCAGTCACTGTGGGTTTCCCACGCCGTTAGGTACCGATAGAACTTGGGTTGAAAGGTCGGTGAGTCCTTTTTCAAGAAATGTATCAAAAGGGGGGAGTGATCAGAGACCAACCGCGGTAGATGTTGCACTGAGGTGTTGGAAAATAATTCCTCCTACTTATAGTTGACGATTGCTGTCTAATCTCACATGGCAAAGCTTCCTCTTCCATGTGAAATAAGAACCTGAGAATCCGAGATCAGACATATTGGCCGAGTTCATCCATTCCCTGAAATGCTTATAGCCCTTTGATCTTTTCCCTCCTACCTTGTTGGCTTGATCCGTAAATGCATTAAAATCACCTACTACAATCCAAGGTTCGAAGGTTCCATCTGCAAGAGAATCAAGATGGTACCACAGTGTCTGTCTGGTTAGCCCTTGCGGGCTACCGTACACTGCGGTGAAATAACACGAAGAGTTATCCTGAAAAAAAGCTGACGGCCTCAACTCTGTGAGAATTACTAAAACCTATATATAATATGATACGACTCGCATAGTCACCACTAATTTTAGGTTCTAGCAATACTACTATCTGAACATTATACAGACTCACGAAACTTTTTAAGGCGGATATTGTATTCATATTCGCAATTCCTTACGAATTCCATGTTAGAATTTGAATACTCATAATTAAAAGGATAGAGGAGTGGAATTACCTGTCGGATTCCGGCATAAATTCCTTTTGTATTGGTGGACCCGGGTCCAGATCGATAACCTCTGTATCAGCAATCACCAAAGGACTGTCCCCTTCAACGTTTTCCATCTCTTTATCTTCCGAGGACGGTTCGTCGGATTTTTTAGGAGGGTGTATTTTCAGTTTTGGTTTAAGGTGGAAAGCTCCCATCGGGTCCGGCGGTTTGTCAGCGTTGGGGAGAGCGGGGGGGGGGGTTCTTGATTGTTGTCGATTGTACTAGAATTTTTGGTTTGGGGGTTGTGTGTGGAATGTTGACAACGGTGTGGTTCAAGGTAGGGTCATGTATCTGGGTATCTGCTATTCGACTGGTGGGGAGTAAGGTGGGTTGAGTTGGGGTGCTAGTAGTTCCTGAGTTGTTGGGTATGGGAGTGATCGGGCTCATAGTGGCTGAGGCAGCGTTGGTATCTTGGGGGTGTGGTGTAGGCCTGGATAACTTCTTGGATGACTATTTGACCCAAGCCTTGTCACGGCCCAAGGGGTTGGGTTTCCTTTTAGAAGATACGTTTAATTCTTGGGCCTGTTTAGGTATAGTCTCCTTTAATTTAGGGTTGGGTTAGTCTGTTTTGTTGGTTATGCTCTTGCCGGCACTGAAAGAGTGTGGTTCCTTAAATAAGTTGCTATTCCACAGTGAATTAATCACCGGCGGCGTTTGGGATTTGAAGAGTGCTGCTTGTGACTCCTTTTCAAGCCTTGCCAAAAATAGAAAACGGGTTAGAAGACATACCATTATTTGGGTTGGGATATTTTGATTTGGGTCCATTCGGCATTGGGAATTTTCTGCCCTTTTTCATCACGTGACTCCACTCGCCTACTGTGCTCGACCGTTGCTGGGTTTTGGGGAGCTGTGCCGAAGATTCCATGTGAAATATTTTCGAGATTTCAGAGGGTCCCGCCTGGTTACTGTCACTAGCTTCATAGGTGACAGAGGTTGCCGGTGGCTGAGTTCCGCCGGTAGAAGTCGGCGAGTTCAGGTCTTTGTTCAAGGGGCAAACACCCTTTAGGTGTTCTTATTTCCCGCACGAATAGTAGATTTGTTGAAGATCCTCATATTCAACCGTGTAAAGTTTCCCATCAATCTTTGTCTTTCCAATTAATGGTTTGGTAAGATCCAATTGTACCGCAATTCTTGCGTACTGACCCCTTTCCACTGTTATTGTATTTCTGTCCGCCTTGAGGTACTTTCCCAGGGGCTTCACAACACTTCTCAGTAAATCTTCATGGAAGTAATCAATTAGTAAGCCGGGAATACGAATCCATGTGGCTACTGGGTTTATATTGTCTTCTTTGGTGCTGAATTATTTGTCCCATGGCAAGACCATTATATAGTGGTTGTCAAGAACCGAAGGTCCATTTAGCAAAACAGAGTGATAGTCCTCCTCCCTGGTTAGTCAAAAGAAGTAGTAACCCTCAATGGTATCAACAGGCTTCAATTAGCCTTTGATCCTCCACAGTCCTTTTAGTCTTTTAGAGAGGCGAGATCATGTCTGAATTTTCTTCCTAGTGGTTTAACCACTATGGTGTATGTCACCATTTGCTTGCGAACTCGGGGAAGAATTGCGTTGAGGGGACACCATCTTCCTCTCCATAGGTTACGTCTCCCTCCTCGACTGTTACCTTTGTCATGTGAAACCCATTGGAGAATTGATTGGAGTGTCCTTGGAGAAGTCTGTCTTTGAAAGAAGGTACGCCCTCAGCCGATTGTTTCAGGGAAATGTTGGAAGCAGATGATGCTGGGATTGTTGTATCAGTTGGTATATCTGTTTGATTGGGCACTTGGGGGTTATCGATCAAGGTTTCTGAGTTGGGAAATTCGTCTCTGTTTTTAACTTTTTTGTCGCTGGATTTTCATCTTCGTGGTTAATTGGAAAGGGATCAGCCATGTCTGTGTCCATGTTGGACAAGTGGAAAGGAAAACGTGCTTGAGGAATACAGAAACAGGAAGAAGCAGATGACTATTTTATAAAGATAATAATGATGTGACCTGATTTTTTTTATATATATATACGTAGGAAGCAAAAGCTTGAATACAAAACATTCCTTAGGATGAGGATGATAGATTCCTATCTATTTCTAGTTGTTCGGCAATACTAGATGGGGGTATTGACAAAATATGTAATCCCGTTAAGTATGAGAAGCCAACCTTGGCTAATGAATCTGCGGCCTCATTGAATGTTCTACGAATGAGGCTATGATTCACCCTCCAGTTCTTTTCTAGTAATGCTAAAATATGCCTAAGAATATTGTTTGATAATATGAACTTTTCGCTATATTTGAGAGAATTTATCGCTTCTATGACCTGATTTGGGATGTGACCTGATTTGGGTGATGAGAGGTCAACGGGGATGTGATGAGTGGTCATCACTCCCATTTAAACATGCGAGATATGGGTGCTCGGCCCAAAGCCTGGTTACGACAACTCGGGCACTCCAATCACTTAACCAATCTGATCCCTCTAATTATCGGACTTTGATCTCAAAGTCCATTTGCATGATTTAAAAGAGCCCACCCAAGCCCAAACGACATGACCCAAACGTCCACCGTAGAAATTAACCAGGAAAAGAAAAAGAGAGAGGAAATAAAGGCAGTCCGTGACTGGTTTGACGGGAAACAACTTTCTCCGTTACAATTAATACAGCGAGTAAAAACTTAAAACTGGGGAGGGGCAAACTAAAATCAATCATCTTCAGTTCATTACTCTTGTTTGTGTGTGTGTGTGTGTGTGTGAGGGAGAGTGAGAGAGAGAGAGAGAGAACAAATCATCTGGGGGGAAATTTAGAAAAACCCTTACGATCTGATCCCGAAGAATCTGTGAGTAGGCCTGAAAGGCGAAGATGAAGATGTTCCCTTGCTACGGTTAGTGTTTACTGTCTTTCATCTAAAACCGCGACCCAGCTTCCATTGTCTGGTTCTAAGTTCCTGTTTGAATTTTTGTTTCTTTCAATTTTTTTTTTTTCCATTATTGTAAAACATGCTTGGGTCAAAATTGAGAAGGGAGGATGAGATGTATGTGTGGCCGGAAGAACTTATAGTTGAGATCTTAGTGAGATTGCCGGTGTTTGCATTGTTAAGATTTAGGTATGTTTGTAAATCATGGTACTCTTTAATCAGAAGCCCTCATTTTACCCGAGCTCACCAACAACTTAACCGCCACAAAATAGAGTATGGCATTTGTCAGGACATCTGAATGCATTGCTGCGGAGGAGGAAGTATGGAGACACCAAAACCTCTTATTAATCCACGAGGAGGAGGACCAGAAGAAGCAAAGTTCCGCGGATGATTCTTATTCAGCTTCTTGTTTGCGTCATCTAAAATTGCCACACGTTGACACAGATTCCCTCCTTGGATGCAAAGGATCTTGCAATGGAATTCTTTGGTTTGATGGTTTGAATGGCAGGCTAACTCGTTTGTGTAATCCAATTACTCAAGAGTATTTTGAACTTCCTTATGAAACGAGCCTCTTTGGGGATAAGGAGAGATTTCATACTGCGGCTTCGGGATTTGGTTTTGATGAGTTCACCAACGATTACAAGTACATCAGCATTGTGAAGGAGTCAACACCCTATCCCATCAAACAATTTGCTGCACAAATTTACAAACTCAGCACGAATAGTTGGAGTGTGATTGAGAAGCAGCACGACCACAACGGCTTTGACTTGAATTCCATTACTTCCTTCCCTGGTTTCACTGGCGGAGTGCTTTTTAATGGTTCCCTTCACTGGCGGAATCACTCCCACACAAATCCTGGCCGAGTTATTCAATTTCTAATCCTTACTTTTGATCTCCATACTGAGACATTTGGAAGCATAGGAGTACATCATCAAATAAATTACCACTACACATTAGGCCGTGATGGTGTATTAAGGAATGATCCTCGAAGAACTTGGAAGCTTACGGTCTTGGGTGACTGCCTTGCCATTGTCATAACAAACTATCCAACAATCGCAGGCAAGATGTTGTTTGATGTGTGGGTGATGAAGGAATATGAAAATCAGGAGTCGTGGACAAAGAGATGTTCGGTTGGACCATTTTCTCACCAACCTTGTTTGTGCCTGTTGACTTGTTGGCATGATGACGAGCTCCTTGCTCTAACTGATGATGATAATAGAGACCTGGTCTCCTGTAAGCTTCCCCTGAAGAATGGTCCTGAAGAGGAGGAGGATGAACAAGTGATCACAACATTCGACATCGGTTGTAAGCATGTCAAATCTAAATTCTGTGTCCAAGCTGTCATATTTCAACCATCTTTTGTTTCTATCGGCGGAGGCAGAAGAAACCTTTGATGGATTGTGCAATTGATATAAGCTTAGATGTACTTTTTAAGTGATGTAGGAAGTCGCTTCTTTTGTTGCTTTAGTAGATTATGCATCTGTCTGTGTAGCTTTAGTTTTTCAGCGACAACAGGGTCAAATTGTAAGGTAACTCTAACTGGAGTTATATATCTTTCAGTGTTGGAAGTCATTATGCTCCTCTTGGCCGGTCCTATTCTTTACATCAAGTGAAAATAGACTCTGTTCAAGTTCTGTGCCAGATTGAGAAATGTTTTATAGACTTAGGATTGATCCATAAAGTTTTCTGGGTATTAAAAGGGAATAAGAACTCGTTTGATAAGATGGATATAGATGAAGATGACAAAAACTTTTTACATATATTCCTCTATCACAACTTTGCTCTGAATATGTATATATATTGCCAAGCTATATACACCAGGAAGCTCTATAAATAACCATAGCAGCGAGAAGAATTAGAAACAAATAAAATAACCAAAGAAATGCACAATGTAAACTTTCGATCATGTCCTCAAAATGATGTATCTAGCCCATCTAGTATGTCTAAAACATTAGCTTTTGGTTGATGTCCCAACTCTACTCTTGGGGAGCTTCCTGTACTCCTACTCAATGCCCAGATTTTCGATCTTGCTTTCTTAGTTACAAGGAATTCTTGGCTTTTGCTTCGGACCGGAACCATTTTTCGCCTCCTAGTCACTTCATTCAATAAATTCCTATCTTCCAATGAAATGTGTGCACTGCGGACTTTACCATTTTTGTTCCCCGGAATCCCTTGCAGTCCCTTGTTAGCTGCTGGTGACCGAGTTGGGACAACCACCTTGGCTCCATTATCTCTATACCGGACCAGGCTGATCAAACGGTGAAGCCAAGTTACTAATTCGAGGATGTACGAATCCATCTTCTTCTTATCAGCGTGATACAGGGTCTGTAAGCGGATGATATTACTAGTTGTGCTTGTTTTCTTCCCAAACTCATTCCTGTAGGCAAACCAAGCAAACATTTAAAATCTCTAATCTTTACAAAGTTCAAACTGCAAAATGATTTACAAAGAACATTAGACTGACCCTGTGTTTGCCCACTCTCCAACCCATCCGAAGCCTTGATGTGCTCTGTTTCAACGAAAAGAGAAAACAAGAAATGATACCTTCAGCATTAAGCTATACATTTAAAGAACTTTTCTAGTATGCAAAAGTAGTTATAACAACAAATATATTGAAGCAGTGATCGCATACCTTGTGGTGTCCGCAGCTACTGGAACAAGCCACTGTAGTGTTTTCTCCATTTCGGCCTTTATTTCATGAACCGAAAGCTGCCAGAGAGGGGGGGATAAGAACAAAGGGCATACATCAGTAAAAAGATCACTTACAAATAACTCTTAAGAATGAGGTAGTCAAACAAAAGAATAAGTTCTACATATGGGAACAGGTGTGAGAGTAAATTCTGAAAAGGAAGATCAAGCATATGATATTAGAAAGATCTAAAATAGAGTAAATTATTTGTGCCAAACCTCGTCTTTTATATCAACGGTCTGTAACCGAAAGCGAAGAGCACTCTTGATGGTAGGAGGCAATCCATTGTATAAAGTATCTCTCATATTTGGAGGAAGGGAGGTTGGGCGTGAGGCCTAGTGCACAAGAATTTCATGGGGAGTAGAGAATTATCATCAGTACAGTCACTTCAACATAAAATTACCATCACATACGTTCAAATATGTTACATGAAGGTTGTAAACTTACAATGTTGTCAATTTGAGTAACTAAATTTGCGTAATGTAAAGCAAGACCCGCAACACCAAGTCTTTCCACTTTGTACTCTTTGCCACCCGAAACCAAACCTGGCAGTATGTAACACAATAAGAAGTTAGGAGGAAACAGTCCAAAACAGTTCTCCAAAGAAACAATAAAGTTTGCGGAAGAATTATGGATAAAGATGGGGGAAATGCATATAATGCCCCAGTAAAGGAGTACGTGATATACAGCTTCAGACAGTGAGAAACACGCTCATAATGTAACTAGCTAGTTATATTACCAAACTTTTTCAAAGAAAAGAGAGAAAGAGAAACAAATTAAGAATCGGATGTAATAAATACAAAAGGCACGCTATATTTTCATACCATTGTCTTCAAAAACCTCTGAAATCTCTTGAAGGATAAAGGTAACTACATCAACCAGCTTCTCCACAACCTACAGTTGTAAGAAATGTGAGAAATAGAAATCTCTGCTAAGTAACATCATAGAGTAGATGAGCAACGAAGATGCTGAGCTCCCCATATTGAAAGCATTTTTAACATATACATTAGCAACTATCACAGCTTTAAAAAGGTTTTTATGAATTTGTAAGTGAAAATTTTGGAACTAGAAACCCTGTAATATAAGTTCCTCTTCCAAGTACAAAGTATGTAGCAAATGACACCATTCAAGTACCTCTTCCAAACTTTTAGACCAAAGAGATTTTTTTTTCAAGCCCCTGACCAGCTTTCTTTGATGTTTCAGCTCACTGTGCAACATCATGAGACTTTCTCCTGTTAATAAAAATTTACAATGACAATTATCATCACCAAGACCAGAAAACAAATCATTTCCAAAAATGTAAACTCAAAACTATACTTGGTTCCTTCCTAAACACTTTTTTGAACCAAAATGGAGTCATGTATAAACCTTAAGCAGGTGGAAAAAAGTGCACCACTAGTTCGCTTATGTGTTGTATACTTTAAAATACATCAGAAGTTGTATATTTTTGAAAAAAGTTTCACACCTTTTAATTTCAGAAAGTATAAGTTTAGACAAGAAATTTTACAAGAGATTAGCAAGAATATCTGGTAGTATGACAAGTCAGTTTGAGAGAAGAAAAAGTACTGGATAAGTGCCCGTTACCATCCTAAGAAGGAGGGCTCCAACCAAAAGGCAACCATGATTTGATTCTCAACCTCAAAAAATAGAAACTGAACTTGCCCTACAATTGACTATCATAATCCTTTTTTTTTATATATAATAAATAGCAAGTGAAACATTATGATGGTAGTAGCAATATATATTTCTAACTTCAGCTTGAAATAATGACACCGCCTAACAGCTTAATCCGAGAACCACTAATAACTCGAATGCAACAGCCACCAAAAGTTGTGACCAAATATACAAAAAATTAAACAGGGAACTCTTGTGTTACTTCCTATAATTTACTTTGCGAGGTTTCACTCAAACAGTCACACTCTATTATTATGCTTGGAAATCAATAGAACAAACCTTTACGAGGTAGATGCAAGGACTCCACTTCCTCAAGCTTGCGACGGTAATCTTGTTCAAACCTATCCAAAGCATGTAATTCATGATATAATTCCTGCAACAAACAGAGAAAGCCAAACTCAAAATTTGGATGTGAAAGAAAACTAAAGATATTGTATTGATCAAGCACAACCTCCCCTTACTTTTAATATGGCTAGCCATAGAGAGAAAATTTAATCACAAATGATTTATTTATAATTATGAGAAAAAGAAAGTCAAATAACAGCTCAAAGTGCGTGAAAGGATTCATCCTAGTGAACATGAGCACAGATTTGATATGGATGAGACATTACAATCTTCTGTGGATTGCATGCCAGATGTGAAGAAAAACTGGAACAAAACCAGGGCATAAGACACCATAAAAGAAGAAACATGAGCATCACATACGGCAAAGTAAAAGGGCTAACACTAAACAACAAATGCTGATTATTTGGCATATCTAATGCCTCTTCTAGCAACACATACTCGAGGACCTCATCCAATGCTACATAACAACACTAACCAAAAATTTCGTTTCTGCTAAGTTTAACTGATATTCGTACTGTAATATTCATTTCCAGAATGCACCCACGTAGAAAATTACAATATAACTTTGATCAACTAAAAAAGGTAAATCAAGAAGATGCAGATAGTCCCGTGAACACTCACGGAAGTGTGTTGAGCAAGTGTTGTCAATTCTTGCATTGTAAGTTTTGCTTCTTCTCTAGGCTGCTTGGGACTGATAGGGTCAGAGTCCAACCTGAAAAATAATATCACGTCACAAACATTCTTTTGAACCTTCAACGGGGTGAGCAGCTTTTCTGTTCAATAATATGCAAATGCAATCCAACTTACTTTGAGAAAAATCGACCAAGGTTGTGCCATTGAGGGTCTTTACACAAATCTCCAAATCTGATTACCTCACGGGAAAAGACATCAAATTCTTCCCTGCAGATGCAGATTAAGAATGAGTGTTTCTTTTCTCAATCTGGCAAATTACAACCTAATGAATTCATTTCACCAGGTCGCGTGCAGCAATATGGCTAGTGCAAATAAATCAATCGGAGGAAGAGCCTAAAACAAAGGGATGTTAGAGACCTTTTGTCAGCGGCAGCAATGCTGAGCAGCTCCTTCATGTCTGTGGAAACCAGCAATTGCACCCCTTCTGAAGGTAGAATCTCCTTTTTCAAGTAGTGAATATTTTCTTCAGAAAGTGATTGCAACAAATTTGCTCCTTTGGCTATAGTATTGGCAACTTCAAATGCCAAAATAGATATTTTATTTGATTTTGAAGCCACAGCACCAATAAATCCGCTGTTATTTAAATTTGACATGCTGCTACCCAATGTATCGAGCACATCAACTGCCTTTTCTAGTCCTGCTAATCCTGCCTTGCCAAGGAAAGAGCTAACTTGAGTCCCCTGTCACCACAAGAAGTAGACATAAGAATCGTCATACTGTGTCTATCTGCAAACTATGGTTCAAAAAATGATGATGAAGAACTTGCAATTTACAACAAATATGCATTTCATAGCAGATAAACTTCCTGCATTATTTGCCAACCAAGTTCTTGAACCAGCACTCATACTCAAAACTCACTTCTAAGCAATGCCAAACAGCTGTAACCACAAAAAGGTTCTCCGAATTAGTGTTTCTTGGGAACTTGCTGAACTACACTCTTAACATGTTTCACGTTTGCACATTTCAATATCTGAGGGCTGAAACTTTCAGATTTCTTATATTTTTTATGCAAAAGCCCATGTCAGTATAAAGTGCATTATAGGAACACAATTCACAATTCACAAGCAATGCTTGTCCAGATGCTGCCAAAACCAATCTAGCAGACATATCTATTAGATGCCGATAAACCCAACAGGATAGTGGCTTCATTTTGCAGGGAAGAGACAATCTCAATATATCGATAAGTGTTAGCTCTGGTAATTTTATGCATGACCGAAGCATGTAATATCTGCTTTCGCCAGAACTGAGGAAGACTTGCAAAAGGGAATTTCTAGTATTTGCAAAAGCTGAGTTTACCAGGACTTTCAGAGTGACATTGGATAAGAACTTTGCCTGATGGTAGATAAACATAATACAAAAGAAGTCAAAAGACCAAGCTTACTGTCCCTGACTGAACTTTTTGCTTCACTCGCATAAACCCCTAAACTTCTCTGGAAAAAAATCATTACCATCAAGGTCATAATTCTTGATTGCTTGATGGACAAAGCAGCAGATTCCCAGATTGTGGATCAAATTGCAGCTAATAAATTAATAACATTCAAATCTTCCACAATTCTTCTACTTCTTCTGCAGCTTCAGTCCAGCTTCGTTGTTTTCCAGATATCACTTTCTCCATGGCATCTATTAAAGCTTCATTGTATTTATGCATCTACCTTCTTCAAATTTGTACTTAAACGACACATCAAAAGTTAACCCAACCTTCCAAACAGTCTTTTCCACAAACTATGGTCATAGCATAGATGACGATTTCCAACAGAATCTAAACTTGATCCCCTCAGTTGTGAGATAATACATATAGTTATCCATAGTCCGCAAAACAGCCCGAAGCCACAGTCGTGTACATTGTACCTATTTCTAACCTCCACAATAGCCAACCAGAAAATTATGGAAAACGATCTACTTCTATATATCAAATTTAAGCAGACGGTATATGAACAATGAAGCTCACAAATAGATTGTTTAAAAACGAATCTACACGAATTAGACTCATCAAAATGTGAAAAATTACATAAGAAGCAAATATAGTATATGTATTACCTTGGGAGGTGTCGGTGTCCTAGCAGGTGTGGAAGGCTTTAATTCTCTGGAAATGGAAATTTTCAGCTCGCCGGAATCATACAAATTATTAGAAGGTATGTCCGCAAACTCAAAATCGGAATATGCATTAGAAGAATCATCAATCTTATTCTGCTGCTTTCCACCTGAAGCCTTGCCCTTTTTGAGATTCCCAGAAAACCCAGAATAATTCTTCTGATGATTTTCATGGTGGTAACCCGCATCTATATCTGACTCAAACCTACTCTTCTTGCTCACCCCAGTTGAGCACACTCCCCCCATTTCAAGAAACCAAATTTCCACAACCGAAACAGCAAAAAAAGGCAAGATTTTTACGCCTTACCTGTAACTTAGAACAGAAGGGCCAGATTTTGTCAGCAATCAAATCAGAAGAAACCCAGAAAGATTAAAGAAAAAAAATAGAGTAACGGAGGAAACAGTACTTACAGATGCAATGTTGATCGGCCAACACAAATGGGATTAGATTACAGTAAATTTCAATATGGTTTACCAAGAATAATCAAGATTCAGCAAATTTTTATTTTTCCAAGAGGGCGAATTATCAAAATTCGTCAGTGAAATGTGATGAAACAGCAAAGTGGGCTGGGGGCTGACCGAGTAATAGAACCAATTAGAAGACGCGGACACGGAAACCCAAAGAAAGAGAGGGAAGGGAAGTCAGCAAAAACCACTCTTGACTGCTTCTTTGCTTTTTTTTTCTTTTTTTTTTTTTGGTTTTAAGTTTTTTGAAGATTGATTATGATGGGGTTTGAATGGAAGTGAAGGGAAGATTGAAAGGGACACATTGAGATTTTAGGGAGTTGAATTTTCACACTCGAACTACTAAAAAATTGATAGATAATTCTTCTGGGCATAAAAGTCTTCCCATGCGGGTCTGAACGGAAGAATAAGCCATTCTTTCCTTTTTTAAAATTAAAATTTTTTTTTTCACTAAAATCATCTAGTATTAAAAAGCAAGATAGAAAAAATCTTCGGTAATTTTTACAGCAAAGAATTACAATAATGACGAAAGAAAATTAAAAAAAAAAAAAAAGAGAAGGAAATTCGTTCGATCTTTATTTAATTTTTGATCACGTAAATTGCAAAGTGAGCAGTATAAGAGCAATTCTGTTAATCGTCCTATGTTTGTTGCATTATTGACTATTTGATTATCTTATGTGAATGGGACAATCATTTTTTGAAGATCAGTTATGACTGCCTTCTCATGTGTGTGCATTGTTTAGATGTGGTGAAGATCACCCTTGGAATTGCTGATTTACATATATACCCTTCTTTTGAATGAGTTTTTTTCCCCACAATTGAAATTATAATTTGGATTAAGTTGATGTTTAGTGATGGGTCTCAAATTTTATAACGATAGAGGATGACAACCATGTTTGTTTGACCATAATAATGGTCCAAATTTAAGTTTTGTGGATTAGGAACTTCCAACCAACCATGGAAGGGAATTTTTTTAAAAATGATAGTAATGAATGGACTACTAATTTGAACCTTATTCTAAATTAGAAGAATTTAAAATCAAGAAGACATTCTTTTTGTCCCGTACGAAATTGTAAATAGTTTTGAATACAATATTGTGCCCTTTTATCCATAAAGGAAAATAGATTGTCAAATGTTACCACGAACCATTTTTGTTTTTACTTTTTAATTTGGAAGGATGTACCAAGAGTGACCACACAATTTTTGAGCTAATCTGAATGCATATATATTAGTATATCAAAAAACTATATCTATGGTTTGATAAATTTCATTGGTTGAATTTAAATATTTCGGTGAACCACGCAACAAAATATTATAAAATAATCAAATTGAGTTAGTTATGCAGATGGGAAAAAAAAAGAAAAGAAAAGAAATCAATGCATGAGTTAGTATGGAATCTTATAGAATTCAATATGTGAAATTTATTTTTATTTTTTTCGAATAATTGAACACTATATTCCCAGTAGTCAACATGGAGTAGCAAAAAAGGAATTTCAACCAAATTATGAAAACGTTTCGGATAAGAAACACTTCTTATTTTTGACTTTTTTTCCCATCAACAAAACCAAAACCGTCCTATTGTAGCAAAGCCCATAAGGTAAAAGACAGGCTTTAACCAAATCCAAAATAAAGGATATAATGGTCAGTTTGTCAATTAAATGCAATAAATTGGTCAGACTAAGTTGGGTCCACCCAAAAGCTGGTAGATTTGTGTGCATTCATTTCGTAAAAAAAGTTCAAAAAAACCAATAAAAAAACGAGTAGTAATTCAAGGAGTCAAACTCATTTGTGAACGTTTTTACAAAATCCACATTTTAAAAGTGTCTTTTTATACACTCCCTCCATCCATCTTAGAAATATATGACACATAAAATTTTAAATTTTTATACTAAAAACAACACAAAAATAAATATATTGAATTATTATTTTGAGACACACAGAATTTTTTTTTAATGATAAAGCATAAATGTAATTAATACAAACTGAACTACATTCGTCTTAACCAATCCAACAGTAAGGATGTATAGGACTATCGAGAATCATGGTAAAACGGTTGGGAGGATGAATCCATGTACAGTGATATGCATTGATGTACTACCATGTTATCATTATCAATCATATTAATTCATCTGAGAATAATTATTCAACAAAGGCACCCACAAACGGTGGTGACAGGTAGTACGTATAATATGAATCATTGAAAAATCACATTTTCTTTTTTTCGGTTTGACTCCAGTTAACTTGACTCAGTCTTACTCCGAGTCCGTGAGTATAATAATGATAGTATCACATTTTAGTAAAAGTGAGATTTATTTGAATCCTATGAAATATTGTAAATTTTTTCTCAATACTCAAATTGGGCTTTACGGTTAGATCATTTGGATACAAATACAATACATACTGTTTAGTGTAAATGAGCCCAATATTGTCGGGTCAGAGCCCGAAAAGCATTTTACACCCTTTAAAAGTTGCTCGACGCAAAATAGACTTCACACAAACTATAAGGATCATCTTGAAAAGAAAAAAGAAAAACACAGATACTGTGAGAAATTCCAAAAAAACCATAGATTTTAGATTTCAGACCACCGGAATGAGCCCTGAAAAAACCCCAGGCCTAAGAAAGCTGGCCGCAATCGGCGATCTCAACTCGCTTGGAAGGAGTGCCGGACTCACTTCCCACCTTCTCCATAGCATACACCACGCTCATGCCCTCCACCACGTGTCCGAAAACCACGTGGGCCCCGTCGAGCCAGTCTGTCTCGTCGGTGCAGATGAAGAATTGGGATCCGTTGGTGTTGGGTCCGGAATTAGCCATGGACAGGATCCCGGGTCCGGTGTGTTTCTTCACGAAGTTCTCGTCTTCAAACTTGAGCCCGTAGATGGACTCACCGCCGGTGCCGTTGCCGGCGGTGAAGTCGCCTCCCTGGCACATGAATTCGGGGATTATACGGTGGAAGATTGATCCCTTGTAGTGCAGGGGCTTGCCGCTACGGCCGACGCCTATCTCGCCGGTGCAGAGTGCCCGAAAGTTCTCTGCGGTTCGAGGAGTTACGTCGGCGTACAGCTCAAAGACTATCCGGCCGGCATTGTTGCCTCCGATCTTGATGTCGAAGTAAACCCGTGGGTTTGGCATGGTCAACACTCAAAGACTCTCCGGTGAGCTAACGAGTGAGACCGTAGACAGATCTTGATGAGGAGTTTTTAGTATGATTTTGGCAATTGGGGAAAGGGTAATACACAGAAAAATGAGGACCAATTTGATAGTGGTCGTTTGATTGTGGATACGTGGATGATTGCCATGATTGTCATTTGTTACTTTAGATATTCGTTCAAATATTTTTAGTATTAAGTATGGGCAGAATCAATCCCATTTAATTGCCATCCAGCCTCTGTTGCCCACTCACAAAAAAGGCATATTTAATCCGTAAATACTGATGTTTAAGGCTTTAAGCACCGTTATCACCAGAAAAGAAAGAGCATCTTCTGATCCAGGATGCCTCGAATCAATGGCAAATTAAACGAGGACCACTTGTCAACTTGGTCAATTCAAATTAATTTAATGGATGGATATAGAGGAAAGACTGAGGGTCTTTACTGCTTGGGGTTCCTTCCCTATTCCCTACTAACACTGTTCAACCTTTTGTGAATCCTGGGGAAAATTGCAATTGAGAAACCAGAGACCATCATTTAGTAAATACATTTCCCATGGACCCTGAACAACAAAGACTAATCCGTATTACAAATAATTGTGACTTTTGAGAAAATAATGTCACCTTATGTATAATAAAACCTCTCTAAATTAATAGTATTGGGCTCCTAAAATTTATTAATTTATCAAGTTATTAATAATTATTAATTTAAAGAATTTTTCTAATGGAAAATAATCTTTGTCAACAAGAAAAGAAAGTTTGATTATAAATACAAACTTCAAATACGATACTAGAGTTCTCTGTGCGGCTGTAAATTTTGAACTTCTTTTGTTTAGAAAAAACAAAGATCAATAGATCATATTTTATATTCGTTTTTATTTAGATAATTATTAATTCATTAAAATGTGGAAACCTAAAGTTACATAGGGAATTTTTAAAAATTTATTATGTTATAAATTAATCGATTTTTTTTATTTTTTTATTAATTGGAACCAGTAAAATTATTATCCAATAGAGATTATAAATTTATAAAGGATTAATATTTTTTTTAGTTATACTATCATAAGTATTATACACGATAATAATAAACCTAATCCGGATTGGACCGTATTGATAATTGATTGGGCCAGATAAAGGCCCTTAGACCATGATCTCTTTTCCGAAGAAGGCCTCTACAGTAAACCGTACATGTGGCCTTAAAAAACTACAGAAATTTCCAACTTTCTAAGCCACAATTTGTCTATTATTTTTTTTTCTATCGGCATTGTCTTGCCCGTCAGATAATTAATCCAGCCATCAGAAAAGTACATAATCAGAATTACTCTCATCTAATGAATCTGTCCCGAAAATATCTAGGCACCTATTAACATCCCCAAATTAATTAGAGAGAAAAAAATATATATGCAACTTGTACGATTTTAATCGAGTCAAACGGCAAAAGATTATAACAGAATAATACCATCACATTATTAAATAACAAAAATACGTACTAAAATGGAAAACCACAATTAATAATAAAACCATAAAGGCAAAAGGCAGGAGAAAACAGCACCAAAAGATCAATTCATAGAGATAATTTTTTTAATAGTACTTAAATTGCAAAGAAGAAGATAGGGTCAGCCTACCAATCCGATATCCATGTCTCAGTCATAACAAGAACACTTCAAACCGGCTACCTTAAACAAGAAATTAAAAAAAAGACCCAAACAACAGAAAAAGAAAGAGGAGAAAAATCCCATAAAACACCACCAGATATTTATTACATTTAAAATTAAGACCCCATAGATTTGACCCCACCTAAAAAAGCCCCCCAGATCTAAAGCTGGCCACAGTCGGCGATCTCAACTTTCTTGGCGGTCCTTCCGCTCCCTGATCCAACCTTCTCAATGGCCTTCACCACTTCCATGCCCTCCACAACCTGTCCAAACACAACGTGCTTCCCATCGAGCCAGGCGGTCTTGGCAGTGCAGATAAAGAACTGAGATCCGTTGGTGTTGGGCCCAGCGTTAGCCATGGACAAGATTCCGGGACCAGTGTGCTTCTTGATGAAGTTCTCGTCGGCGAACTTTGCACCGTAGATGGACTCTCCACCGGTGCCGTTTCCGGCGGTGAAGTCTCCTCCCTGGCACATGAAGTCGGGAATCACACGGTGGAAGGCCGATCCCTTGTAGTGCAGGGGCTTGCCGCTCTTTCCGATGCCCTTCTCGCCGGTGCAGAGTGCCCGGAAGTTATCAGCGGTGCGGGGGGTGGTATCGGCGAACAGCTCCATCACGATCCTGCCGGCAGGCTGGCCGCCGATGGTCATGTCGAAGAAAACCTTAGGGTTTGACATGATTACTGATTGTTAATTGTAAAGATTATCGGAAAAAATAAAGTTTAATTGAGTGAGGGAGTGAGTCTGGCGAGTTGGGTGAGACGAGGAATTCTGCTGCGGTGAGGTTGTTTTATACTGCCCTCTTTGTCTTGGGGAAGGGTAATATCTTGGTTACTCCAATCTTGGCCGTTGATTTGGGACACGTGGTGGCGTATGGTTGACGCGATGGAGAAGCCGGGAGTAGATAAGGAAGGGGGGGGGGGGCATAAACTACACGTGCTTGTCATGCGCTGCCTTTGTCGGTTAGTGCTATGCTCTGTGGGACCTAGAAAGTCATCGAACCTGCTGCGATCCTTGGAATCTACCTTTTATGGGTACCCTAATGGGCTGACTCGGTGATGGGCCTTATTTGCGCTTGCCTTTGAAATGGGCCTTATTCACTTTTTCAAATTATTTTACACACAAGTACTACGTAACATGGCTAATTGCCTAGGGGCTAAAGGTTATAGTGTGTAGTTCCATGGCTCCTTGAGTCCTTCCATGGCTCCTAGCTATTCTTTAGAAAAAAATAAAAATTTACAAGTATATTATAGTGTGTAGTTTTTAATTAGTCCGATGTATGCCTCTCTAATCGGCTACCTTCGGCGGAGCAAAAATGTATAATATAAGCATTAGCGGAAAGATTCCATAATCATATTGAGTGAATGGTGCAATAAACGATCAAAAAAGCTAATAATATATAAATTATTCACTATAGTTTTTCTCGAAATTATAAAGAGAATATAACAATTGCGGAATTGTACAATTTTATAACAAAATCATCTCATGTTCTCTTAAATGTTTTCAACACTGTCTATGAATATCAAATGCCATCTTGTGTGGCGTACTGTCAACAAAATAAAATTATTTTAAGTTGGCGCATTTATAGGTGATGAACACTATTATTAAATGTTGTGCTCTTTGAAAATACATCCAACAAAACCATGTATGCAACACCCCCACAAAAAAACAAAAAAATAAATAAATAAATAAGGCACGAAGCATTAGATTCGCAAAATATGGTCACTTTTATTAATATTCCCCGGTGATGATTGGAATGCTTCTTCCTCCTTCATCCATCAGTAAAGATATATTCGCTTTCTTTTCATTTTTTAAATGTTTTTTTTTTTTGACAATTTGCTTTTAATAGAGAAAAAAAAAAAGAAGTTTTCCTAAAAAATTTCTACGTCCACAAATATTTGAATGATTTGACGAGTAGATGATCTACCACGAAGAAAAAGTTGGCCAAATTATTGCATGCAGTGATTGGGAAAGGGAAAAAAAAAACACCTTGAGATTTTTTCTGAATCTACCATCTCAATTTTTTAACTCCCCCGTCTCAGAAATGTGGAATTTTTTTTATTTTTTATTTTTTTTTTCCTGTTTACAAGCTATTAGTTACAACCCTTTGAATGAGAGTTGAGTTAGACCTATCAAAAGAGATCACTTAAAGTTTTGGGAGTGGTGACAAAACATGCAATTTTGGGGCGAAAATATGCCTAATTTAGCTATGAGCTAACTGCGATCATTTCGTTGGCATTTGATAAAAGAGGTTTCCACTTTCCACTAGCCATTGCTGATTTAACACACTTCTTACTTCTCATCGTTTAATATGTTATTAGGCCGATTCCAATTTATCCGATTGCTGCAATCGGGTTTCTATAAAACCCCGAAAAAAAGACCTCCCAACGTGTTAATAGAGAATTGGTTATGCTATGAAATGTTTGGAACTTGACCAATTGCAATTGGGTTGTTTCTGTATCATGGGATAGTGTAACACATTTATCTTGCAAGATTTTCACTCAACAGATTTATTTAAAAAAAATAATAAAAATACCCCAAGTTGATAAATGATGAATTTCTGATGAGTGTAAAAATAATTATTGATAGAGCTCCAAGTTGCTAATAATATAAGTATTTCCTAAACAGCATTAGCGGTATTATCAGAACACTCGTTAGCAAGAAGAAACATTATTACACTTGTCCGAAACTGTCCCTTTTTAGTGAACTTAAATCTGATCTTCTCTCATATGCTCCAACTTTCATGTATACAAATTGTTCTACTTTCCTCCGGCAGTTATTTCTTTTACAAATTACAATAGAGGGTTGTATTGTATTGTGAGTAAATAAAAGATAAATACACAAAATGTCACATTTGAAGAACTTTTGACCAGTTCAAATGCCGTAGGCCGAATTACAAATTTACAACAACAGCTCAATATTCAAACCCTATCTCTCTCCCTCATTGATGTCATCAATCAATCCAATTGATTAGGAGTTATAACCAACCCAACCTTAAACTAATCATCAAAAAGTCTTGATCCAAGTATAAATTTTTTAAAGCTTCAATCACCACTTCTTCATACAGCACAATTTTATTTGGGTTCAATGGCGTTGGAAAACATATAAACAAAGTGGTTTTCTCTGGTCAAACTCTTCTTCGTTGTTTATGAATTTGTTTCGATAATGACACTTGTAAATCCAAAAACGGCCGGCATCAACCAAAGCGGCCTGCTCCCTTTTCCCTTCTTCACGAGTTGATCACTTCACATTAGCCAGCAATACTGGTCTAATCTTGTAAAAATCAATGCCCAGTTTCTAGTCCTCAAGAAAAATACTTTCTTTCGGAGATTTAAGACCTTTCAAAGAGCCCTGAAGTCAAAAAAAATATCCTTGTTGCAACAAATTTCCTTCATGTAATCGTTTCTGGCCCTTTTGGGTTACAGTTTTATGTGTCTGGAAAATGTGAATTGTACTGTTTTTTTTTTTTTTTTTCCTGCCAAATGCTCCCAAAAGTAAGTAGCTGAATAAAGGTATTTTTAGGTTCAGTGAAGCTGGGAAAAAAAAAATGGCTGGAAATTACAGATTTGAATTGGATCAGGAAGACATAGTGAGATCATTGATCACTACAGTGGGAAGTTTTATTCAAGACAGGCTTATAAATAAAGAAGAAAGAAATCTGCAGAAGGAACATTGTGCTGAGAGGCTTGCAGCAGAGGATGGAGGTCCTGATAAAGATACCGAAGTTCGGTACTCTGATCAAGCAGTTCTAGCTAATCTTGATTGGGGAATTGAAGCACTTGAAGAAGCAATCAGCACATCAAACCTGGAGACTAAAATGGCCAGATTAGATTACGCCGAAAAGATGTTACAAGTTTGTGCTATGCTGAATACTAGTGAGAAAACTGCAGGCGTTCCAAACTTTTATTTGTCTGCTTGGGCACATTTGAATCTTTCCTACCTGTGGAAGCTGAGAAACAATGCTCAGAATGCGGTTCTTCACATCTTGGACATGTTTGCTATTGACCCTTTTTTTTCAAGAATTGATTTTGCTCCTGAGCTGTGGAAATCGTTGTTTCTTCCACATATGAGCTCCATTGTTGGATGGTATTCTGAAGGAAGGCATAGGATCGTGATGGATGTGATTCCTGATTCAAATGACTTGTCTTTCACGGTTGATTTCGATCAATACTTCAACGAATCGCTTATCATGTCCGTCAGGCCTGATCAAGCTGAAAAAATGCAAGAACTGGAGAATCTTTACAGGGAATCTCTGGATGAGAACACCAGGCTTTATGCAAAGTATTATCAGGATTGTATCAACTATGATTCTGCCACAACCAAGAAGGCCATTCCTATGCTGCCAATTGCTGAGCCACCAATGACTCCTCTGCATGAGGTTAGCCGTAAGATTCCTGATTATGTAAAATTTGGGCCGATATTGCCCAAGACTGCAGGATTTTCGCCCGTCTTGAAAGGTCAAGATGATACTAGGGAAGCATCAAGGTAAGAGATTCAATGCACATTAACAATTTACTGTTATAGCTGTTCTTTCCAAGAATATGAAATGTATAACCATTTCTATGTGGCTTAAAGCAGATCAAATTTAGCTGCTTCTTGCTCTGAGAACTCAGATGACTTTCCTGTTTGGGATGCCACAGTAAGATGACAGATTCCATGATTACATTCTTTTGCTTTATACTGCACAATGACAGATTCCTGTTTGGGTGCATTCTTGACTAATTCACAATTATACTTTCTGCTGTCAGCAAGGAATTCCTGAGGAAGAAGAAGAGGAGGAAGAAGGATATGATAATTACGAACCCAAGCCATTGATGGCATCCAAACACATCAGAAACGTGAAAGCTGCATCTTCTTACAGCAGCATTGGATCAAACAAAGATGCAGAAGATAGTCCAAGAATGTACAAAACTGGAGTCAGGAGTCAAAGCCGAACGCCTGTGGATTCTCCCAGAAAGAAGGAATCATCTCCCAGGATGACAGCCAAAAATGTTAGTAGACAGGAAAAAACTACATCATTACTGCGATTAGCCTCGACTCGAACCAAGGATGCAATAGTCCCTATCCATGCATCTTTATCTGACTCTCCAAGCTCATTTAGGGATGGTAACATCAATTCTGCTGACTTTGATGATGATCTAGAAGTATGCCTCAGCAGTTATTTCATATTTCAGGTTTTCATGTACTGAAATTGCTTTATGAAAACTTTATTAAAGGATGCTTAAATATTCCAGGAGCAGCAAAGTTTCGGGAGGTTTAGTCGAAGGGACAGTCCACCCATGGAGAAAAGGTATGAAGTTTTAAAATCTGTGTTTCCTCACTCTAGACATGGAACCAAGCTTCGAATTCTGTCAAAAATCTGATCTGTGTTTCCTTTTTGTTTCATCAATGGCAGCTTCTCAAATGAAAGTGATGATGGAAACCATAGCTGCATCTCATTGCCATTATCTGAAAAGCAAACTCCTGGATCCAGGCCACCAAAAGATTTTGTCTGCCCCATAACTGGACAGATATTCAATGATCCTGTCACCCTTGAAACAGGACAGACTTATGAAAGAAGAGCCATTCAGGAATGGATAGATAGAGGTAATGTAACCTGCCCCATTACCAGGCAACCTCTCTCAGCCACTGAACTTCCGAAAACAAACTATGTTCTGAAAAGACTAATTACCTCTTGGAAAGAACAGCATCCTGGTCTTGATCAAGAATTGTCCTATGCTGAAACCCCAAGAAGTAATTCAAGCATTTCTAGCCATCAAAGTCGAAGGAGAATGGAAAACGACACAGAAAGTTTACCGCGGAGATCTATTAGGCGGGTTGCTTCTGTGTCTACATCACCAACCAGTGTGTTATCAGAAGCTGCTGTTGAAACTGTTATCAATGCAATGAGACCTCACATCTCATGTCTTTGTGATTCTGAGAATCTCCAAGAATGCGAAGCAGCAGTTTTAACCATAACTCGGATATGGATTGACTCGAAGGTTGAATCAGGGATTCATGCTTATATGTCTTCTCAAACAATAGTGAATGGCTTTATAGAGATTTTATCCGCTTCTTTGAACCGGGAAGTCCTAAGAGCAACGATTTATATCCTGTCACAGCTAATCTGTAGTGAGTATGATAGTGTTGGAGACATTCTCAACAGCATGGACTCAGAATTTTTTGATTGCCTTGCTACTTTACTGAAAAATGGCCTAGCTGAAGCAGCAATACTTATATACCTACTAAGGCCATCATTTTCACAACTATTTTCACAAAATCTTATCCCTTCTCTTATCCAGTTAATTTCCATCAAAAGCGAGGACCGCAATCGCACTGATTTTCAATTTGTAATAGCGGCTAAAGATGCTGCACTAGTTTTGCTTGAGCAGATTATAACTGGAGGAGATGAGAGAACCATTTTGACAAGTACTATGGAGATTGTATCCTCTGGGTCAACTCCTGCCTTCCTGAAATGCCTAGATAGGGTAGATGGAAGACAATCCTGTGTGTTAATCCTTTTGTGTTGCATTCGGGCTGATCATGAATGCAAGAATCTAGTTGCAACCAGGATTGAATTGTCTCCTGTGCTTGAAATGTTCCATGCTGGAAATGACAGCATCCGAGGGACTTGCATTGAGTTCATCTATGAATTGGTGCAACTGAACAGGTTACATTCCACCTTCTCCAGTTTTCATATATAAACTCAAGTCTACTTACAGAAAATACCTCTTGTTTATTGAATAAATATCACTTCTTCCTCTTGTTGAAGACTTAAATTCAGATTTTGATTATAATTGCTTTACAAAACTATTCTGTGGTTTCTCAAGCATTTTGGGCACCGATAGCAAAGGATTGTAGCTAACTCTTTTTTCTGCTGCAGGAGAATATTATGCAACCAGATTCTACAAAAAATTAAAGATGAAGGAACATTTAGCACCATGCACACGCTACTTGTCTATTTACAGATGGCTCCCATGGAACAGAAACCTGCCACTGCTTCCCTACTTCTACAGTTGGATCTCCTGGTATTGTGTTCTTAGGATTCTTATTCTTCATCATCGGAAGTGAACTATTAGATTTTCCTAACAACTTATGTACTTAGGTCGAACCTCGGAAAATGAGTATCTACAGAGAAGAGGCAATTGAGGTATTAATAGAAGCACTTCGCAGAAAGGAATTTCCGGCTTCACAGGTTGCAGCTTTAGATGTCATATCATCCCTTCCAGGCCATATAAGCAAATCAGGGAAGTCCTCCATTGAAGCCTGGTTGCTTAAGCTTGCAGGGTTTGATCAGCCTTATAACACATTGGTTAAGGGAGAAAAGATAACAACTTCAGAGAGTGTTTTCATTGAATCTGAATCTGTGGTACGTATGCACACTTCCTCCCTGGCAAGCTATTTCACTACAATGTTATTATAATGGTAGTTCTTCACAGGAGGACGAGCGAAAGGCTGTTAGAGCTTGGGAGAGGAGAATGGCGTTTGTGATATGCAATCATGAAAAGGGATCCATTTTCAAAGCCCTGGAGGAATGCTTGAACAACAGCAATTCTTTAGAGATAGCAAAATCCTGTCTTGTCGTTGGGACGTGGCTTGTACATATGCTTTTCAAATTTCCAGACACCGGGACAAGAGATGTTGCTCGTAAATGCTTGCTTGATCAGTTCATTAATGTACTACAGTCATCAAAAAGCCTGGAGGAAAAAATCCTGGCAACACTTGCTTTGAGAGGATTTATCAATGATCCAGGTAAAAAGCACACACACAAAATCAATACATTGATGACTGCTAAAAAGTTGCTTACTATAATGCCAAGTTTCTGTTCCATTTCCTTAGGTGCACTAAATGATATGGGACCCCATGCTAAAAACCTGTACAAAACATTAAGGAAGCTTAAATGCAACGCCGTATTGGTTGATGACTTGCTCAAGGCCTTGATAAACTTGCCCTCAATTGATGCTGTGAGTATATACAGAATACAGTGTTGATTTGTGCAGTAATTCTGTACTGCATTTCTGAATGTGCCTAATAACAAGATGGTTTTCAGGCCGAGTTATGGTGCTATGTAGATGGCCCAGAGTTAAATGCATCCGTGAATGGTGAAGTTCTTTCTATGCTTCATGTCAGAGGTCGCCTAATAAGCAGCCATTCTGATGGAACAATCAATGTATGAAGCGACGTATTCCAATGTCAATTGCATTCTGCTTCATATTTTGAAGGCTAATTCTGTGGCTAAAATCAAAGTGTATATACAGGCCTGATTCTTATTTTTTTGGGTTGATTTTGAATAAGTCAGGTGTGGGATACAGGAAGGAAGAATCCTCGATTGATCCAAGAAGTTCGGCAGCATACAAAAGCTGTAACTTGTTTATGCCTTTCACCATCCGGTACCAAAATGTTCAGTGGCTCCCTGGACAAAACAATTCGGGTAAGACTTAAGATCTTCGGTCATGTCATATCATATCATCGGCATTCGTATCAATACCACGATTCCAAGTCATATCATTCCGTTTCTATAGATGAGTATCCATCTAACAAAGCATTTTAATGCAGATATGGGCAATCAAGCAGGAAGAAATTCACTGTGTACAAATCCATGATGTTAAAGAACCTGTACTAGGATTGTCAGCCAATAGCAGCTTCGCTTGTTTTTTCTCTCAGACAACTGGAGTTAAGGTAGAATGCAACAAAGCTTTTAAGTCAACCGACCGAAATAAGGTAAATAAACGAATCCCCCTTTACTGATCAGTAAGAAGTTTATGCAGGTATACAGTTGGTCAGGGGCTCCTAAGCATGTAAACTTCAACAAGAATGTGAAATGTGTTTCCTTGCTAGGGGATAAACTTTATTGTGGTTGCACCAACTATAGCCTACAGGTAACACTCCCCAAAACTGTGAATGATTTCCTTACATTAAACATTAAACACTTTGCATATGAGACGCATTTATGTTTTTAATTTGTTGGTTCACCAGGAGGTAGACATTGGAACACTTTCATCGACTGTATTTTACGCGGGTACAAGGAAGCTGTTAGGGAAACAGACCATATATTCAGTCGAAATCAACGGAGGTCTTCTCATTGCTGGTGGTTCCTCCGTTGATGGGATAGCCGGAAAGGTAAACCACTTCTTGTGATGCTTTTCAATCTTCTTCATGTACAAAATCTTTGATACATTTAAACATTTGCAACTGAAGGTGTTCACTGTCCCAAGCAAATCAGCCGTTGGAACTCTGTCGACTACTTTTGACATACAGAATATAACGTCCAACAATGACTTCATATTCACGGCTTCAAAATGCGGGATAATTGAAGTGTGGCTGAAAGGACGAGTAACGAAAATTGGTTGCATTAGAATGCCTGGAGGAAACACTACAAAGCTGTTGTCTGTAGCTTCTGATATTGATGGACAAATGCTTTTTGCCGGTTCCTCCGAAGGCAAAATACAGGTGATGACAACAATTCTTCTGGAACAAAATTATCAAAATTACTGGATTATGTTCAAAACTGGTGTTTGATGATCTGGGTTCTGGTTTTTCCTTTCAGGTTTGGCTTCTGAACTGATATTAGCAACACAAGAAATGAAGTGATAGGTGTCAATATTAAGCGGGATCAGATAAAATCTTTGGATCAAAGTTGAACCTTACAAGATTATTAACTTGATGAACTTTTCCATTTAAATTGGCCTTAGAATTTCAACATTTTCATCTAGTAAAATTGGATTCATTCGGTATGAGACTTATGATGATTCATTTTTGTAAAGAATATTATACCATTCTTAATCTTTATAGATTTCATATTCTATTATGATTCAGTTTGGTAAGGAATATTATGAGTCTGAATCTTTAGACACTATAATATTCTCTTAATCCGCATTTTGAACAATGTCCATCATGAATCTCGGATAATTACAATATGTATGTATCCTTCGAGGATGTTCAGATCGGCATTATGGAAAAAAAACCAAACTGAATTCAACAGAAGGCTTTGCTGATATTGGGTGCTGCATTCATCCCTAAGGCATATATGCATTCATCTGCAGCCAAAGAGCCAAACTCCAGACCCAATAATCAAACACAGTTTTCCAATCAAATAATATCCTCAAAACCTACCAAAAAGTGGATTAAAAAAAAAATGTGTTAATCAACAAACTGTTAATTTAGCACTCAGAATGAAAAGGACTTAAGAGTTAATCTTGGAAAAAAAATCAAGGATCTTTCAATCTCAATCCATGATTAATCCTCACTGTGCCAAATCTTTTTCAAACAATTCACAATACAAAATCGGAGTAAAAAATTGACCTAAATCAAAAACAAAACCCTAAGAAAAAACATAAACGAAAGCAAGCATTCAGAATGAGTAGGAGGTTGGTATTCCTGTTCATGAATTTCATCGGAATAGTTTTTAAATTCATCATCATTATGCTTGCTTCTTCCTAACAGCAATTAAACGAAGATTTTAAAACAATTAAAGAAAAAGGAAAAAGAAGGAAATTGAAAGGAGAAACATCAGAGAGATTGGATATGTATAACATCAAGAAATCATCAGACGACCGTCGTGAGAATTTATATCCAGATTCATCCTTTGTCTCCGAAAATCTTAACAAAAACACGGAGAAAATCCAAGAAAAAGAAAATCAAAATTCATCATGAAACATCATCGAGGATAACAACACAAACCCAGAAGAAAATTCTAAGAGGATCAAAACACGCAAAGTCGTTAGAAACATAGAGGGGCGAGGTTTGGAGGTTATTACAGAGCCATTTAAAGGGGAGACCTAGGGTTTTTGCGAGCGGCAATACCCATTATCATGATTTGGGCTTATTGGGCTATACTACATGCCCCTATTGATTGGTTATAATTTTGATCCAATACAATGTAACTATTTCCAAAATAGTACTCACTCTGTCTCGAAATTATTGTCCAAGTTTAACTTTTCATTTTTAATACAAAATGAACTAAAAATAAAAAATAAAACTATACAATAATTATGGGGAAAAGCGAGTAGTAATTAGTATACAAGTACTTTTTTTACAAAAAAAAAAAAATTAAAAAAATTGATTTGTACACCTTCTTATCTTTATTATAAGACATTTTGATTTAACTTAAATTTCACCTAATATGTCTTTTTAATTGAAAAAAAATTAAAAATATATGTCCATATTCGTTGTGTTCTCCAAATTATTCAGAAATATCTTTTAATATTTTTTTCTAATTAAAAAGACATATTAAGTGAAATTTAAGACAAATCAAAATATCGTATAATAAGGATAGAAGGAAATATTAGTTTAGCCTTTGGTCCTCTGCATTTTGAATCATCATTTTATTTGTTTTCATAATCTGTAGGATCATATATCATGTTCTCATTGTGATATCAATGAATTAATTACTAAACAATAAAACAACAAAAAGATTTACAAAATGATGTTTTTACTTCTCTCGACTTTCTCGTCAACTTAGCTCAGAAGATGCAAATGTTGACTTCAATAATTTCAACAAAAAACAAGTATTTTGTGACTTTAAATTGATACGGATAATGCAAAAAAAAAAAAAATCTCTCTGTCCGAAAAAAATAGTGCACATTGAATTTTGAAATTTGTATTGAAACTAGAAAAATCTCAAAACTTAAATTGGACTATTTTTTTAGTACATGGTGAGTAATTAAGAAAAAAAGAAGCAACTTAAGCTAGCATCATAAAACAATGTGATCAAAGTTTTCAATATTTTATTTTATTTTAATTTTTATTTTTTGGTTCAATAGCATAGGCAAAACAGCTCGAATAATAAAACTACAATATTCCTAGGGTAACAAATCCTTATTACATCATGCGGAAGTCAATATTTGAGACCCGGCGATGGGTGTTGTAGATATTGACAACCCCATGGTATCGACGTCGCATAGGACACAAGATAATTAGCTGCAAAATTTCCTTCCCTATACACATGGAATAAAGTTTTTAATAGCATAAAGTTTTTTAATAAAGCCAACCACCAAGTAGAAAACCATTTTGACACAAAATGACACAAAAATAATGGGATTGTGGCCTTCATTGACTTTCTCGTCGATTTTGCTAAATAGACATGAAAGTCGACGATATCAGTTTTAACAAAGACCCATTTTTAAAAAAGAAGAAGAAAAAAATTGGACGAAACTATTACAGAATCTTCGAATTTTTTCCTTAAATATATTTCCTTATATATATCTGGACAAAAATAAACCTTTCAAAAATTTTGTGGACGAACATATATGTCCCGGATTTAGGAAATTCGAATGGGGGTGAAACTCAGATTTCGGAAATCCAAACCTCGATAAACTCGGATTATAAAAATCCGACTTTTATAAACTCGGATTATCCTCAACTCTCAGATGATTTTCACAAATTCGGATTTATGAAATCCGAGTACTTTGCAAATTCAAAAAAAAGTCTGAGCTCGGATTTCAGAAATCCGAATCTCCCCTGTTTCTCCTCAAATTGCAACTCTCGGATGGTTTTCACAAAGTCGAATTTCTGAAATCCGAGTACTTTGCAAATTCAAAAAAAAAGTCTGAGCTCGGATTTCCGAAATTCGAAACTCCACTGTTTCTCCTCAAATTGCAACTCTCAGATGGTTTTCACAAATTCAGATTTCCGAAATCCGAGTACTTTGCAAATTCAAAAAAAAAGTCTGAGCTCGAATTTGGGAAATCCGAATCTTCCCTGTTTCTCCTCAAATTGCAACTCTCGGATGGATTTCACAAATTCAGATTTCCGAAATCCGAGTACTTTGCAAATTCAAAAAAAAGTCTGAGCTCGGATTTCGAAAATCCGAATCCTTTAGAAAACCTTAAAATGAGTATTTTGCACAATCGCAAAATAAGGACCACTCTACTCAAAGAAGGACCACTCTACTTAGTCACTCTAGTATATATTTCATCACACTTTACAATCCGAACAATTCAATGTTTACTTTATAATCCGAACAATTCAATGTTCATATTACAATCCGAATTTATCAAAACATAAATTTGTTTGCGTCTATTTAAATAGTTGTCATTCCAAATAACTTGCAAGAACACTAAAGGACTCTCAATTCCAGCTGTCATTCACAGGTCTTCTATCTACTCCTGGGTGCGAGAACGGACAAGAATTGGCATCATTACCTTGTTGTCCACATCTCCAACATTCCCCCCGGCTCTGACGTCTCCTGTAATCCATTTGCATTCTATGTCTCATTTTTTGTCTTCGTCCCGGTCCCGCATGTAACACAAGACGCTCATAATTCGGAATGATGTTCCAATTGACCGTCGGTCATTGTTCCTCATGGGGAACCGGCACAAGGCCCGTGTAATAAAATTGTCTACGCCACGTTGGAAGGCGCCACACACTACGGTATAGATCAATAGGTTGATCCCCTTTTCTCTGACAAACTTGGAGTGCGTGCGTACAAGTCATCCAGTACTCTTGTCACTTCCTACACGAACACCTATGTTCATCGTAGTTCACCGTATGCAAAGACTCACCCCTGCCACTTAGCCGTGTTGCAGTAACAACACGCCACATAGCATCATCACCATCAAAAGGGGTGGCTTCAAAATAGGCTGCTTTGTCGTTCATTTTCTCGTATTTTTTCCATAACTCAGGAGGGATCGGAGTCATGTAATTTCTCGCAGACAATTGTTCTTCTCTGTATAATTTAACAGTTTTTCGAAAGGTTGCATCGATCAAGGCTCTAATTGGTAAAAAACAGATCCCTTTCAACACATTGTTGTAACTCTCAGAAATGTTAGTTGTCGTTATGCCCCAACGGCGAAGACTGGCTTTCAATCGAGCCCAGTTACTCCCTCCAATCCCTTGAAGATACTCCCATGCAGCATGTTTGAATTCAATAAGTTCTGCCCTCATACGGTTGTATTTCACTCTTGAAAGCGTCGTGCCCATCTTCAAACATAACCGCTTGACTTTTATGCTATTATATCGCGACACAAGATTGCTGCGAACGTGGCGGAGGCAAAGAAAGTGGCCACCATCACCTAAATCAGGCCATTCATCCATTTGTGACATTGCGCTCAACAACCCCGCATTTTGGTCGGATATCACACTTACGATTCTATCATACACAACCCACAACCTCAAATTCCTCATAAAAAATGTCCAACTCTCTACTGTCTCCTCATCCACAATTGCAAATGCGGTAAAATGTGTTTGTTTGCGGTATAGACTACCGCAACAAGCAATTTACCCTTGTATCCACCACGCAAAAAGGTTCCATCGATACAAATGACTGGTGGACATTCAAAAAACGTCTCAGCCACTGGTGCAAATGACCAGAAGATGTATTTAAATGTCCTATTTTCCCTGTTCCAACCTTCTTGTCCCTCCTTCTATTCCCACTCTACTACAGTCTCAGGATTAGTAAACTTAAGTGCAGCGATATACCTACACAACAACAAGTCATAGTTAAAATATTTCAATACATGTAAAAATTAAACTAAAAATATTTCAATACACGAATAAACTTTGATATTTACCGTGGAAGTTCTTCGAAATTCGAGGTCCAATCACCATAGACCGCTTCTATGGCTTTCCTCCTCCCGTGCCACGCCCTTTTGTATGACACATCTACTTTCAATAAGGTCTTCACATCTTTCTGTGCCGAGGCTACCGTATAATCTACGTTGTCCTCAACCTTTCTCCTGATGAGTCTAGCAATCAAAGACGCGTCCACACACGGATTGTCATTATCATTCACGGGAGTCATGCAATTATGTGCATCATGCCATCTCACAAGTTCATGAAGGCCGTGAGCTTTCAAAGACACACGCATCTTCCACTCATATGGTGGTTCACCATCCTCACTTTCCACATTAAATGTTCTGCACCGCACAGCCCACGTCGTTGGACTACTCGCGACGACCATATATTCCCTTTTATGATGGATATTCCATAATTTCACAGCATGCTTTACTTCTGATTGAGATTTGAAACAAACACCAATGTCCATTCCTTCGGGCGTCTCATCCCACATCTTAAGAGTAAACTCATCCTTGTCCACACATGAGCCATCCCATTTCTCCATCTTACTATATACATGGCGTCGGGGCAATGGATTACAATCCCTTTCCTCATTTTCCAACCTTTCATCATTACTTTCTTCAAAATCACTCTCTCCGAAGACATCATGGTCTTCTTCGCTTTCACGTGGAGCTATGTAGTCGGAATCCGACTCTTCCCGGTAGTCATCTTGTGCAAATAAAGGTGTCTCCTCTTCATCACGGTTTCGAGAAGTACTAGCACGTTCCCCCCTTGGAAAACTACCAAATGACACGTTTTCCAAACTCGCTTCTCTTTCTTCTTGAGTGATATCTTCCAAATCCATGTATAAATCCAAACATGACATTGGATCTACACGGTTCATGAACTCTACATGCGAATCATTCTTGATCTTCACTACACGCCTACCCACCGGAACTATCGAAAATCAAAGAAATGTGGAGTTTCACGTGTGCTGGATACCAACCAAGTGCCATACAAATCTTACTAATCAATCCCTCATATGACAACCTTTCCTCAACAAAGAAACCATCATCCGGCATATTCGAAAAAGCGTTGATGCTACCATTCTCCATCACATACTTGCTTGTATGATATAAATTAAGCATGTATGATACATTACGTGCCATTGATAACTGTTAAAAAAAATCAATAACTAATTATTTCTTAATAACAAAATCAACAAATACACCATACATACTCCATTCATAATTCAAAAAACCTATAAAATACTAAAATACTTATAAATCAACTTCCATATCTCATGAACAACTATGATTTCTCATCTCTAACCTCAAAATCAACACCTAAAACATCCAAACAACCAACCAACATAAACCCTAATCTATCATACATCATTCTAACAATCAAAATAATACAAAACTAAATTAAATAACATGGTTTTGCAATCTAACCTCTTTCAAATAACGATTCCCACGTATTTAGAGGCAAGAATGCATCAAAAGCTCCAATTCGCCCTTGTTTGAGCTGCAAAAACAGAAAATCCAACTCAGTTCTCGAATGAGAACTGTCTGATTTTTTTTTTCTTTTATAGCACGTTAAACTCGGATTTACGAAATCTGAGTTCGTAAGTAACTCGGATTTTCAAAATCCGAATTACAGTGGCCTCGGATTTCCTGAATCCGAATTTGGTCAATTCCATATTATTTTATTCATTTTTTGGTCCTCCAATTTATGGCACATGCCTACTTCCACCAACCAAAATTAAAGGCAGTCGGATTTCCAAAATCCGAATTCGTAAAACCAGATTACGGACTTCCGGTTTTTTGATTCAAAAATTTCGCGCCGTGATTTTCTTTTTTTCTTTTTTCTTTTTGTGTAAATCCGAGTGTTACTGTTCACTTAAGGAGTCCAGGTCCTGGACTCCCTCCTTATTTGAGTTCAAATATTCGCGTCTCAATTTATTATTTTTTAACTAAATTCGGATTTCGGAAATCCTGACGGAACTGTTCATTTAAGAATTTTTAAAAACTATTATTTAACAAAATTTATTTAATTATTATTTTATTAATAAATATAAGCTCGGATTTACGAAATTCGAGTCTTTAATTTTAATTAGAACTCGGATTTCGGAAATCCGAGAGATATATTTCTGTCCACTAATATTCTGAAAAATTCAAATTTGTCTACGTTTATTTTAATCAATTTTTTTTGGGAAAAAGCCCCAGAAGCCTCCGGGACATTCACAAACACCAACCGACTCTTCCCGCTGACAATAAGATACGCTTAACAAAGATCGCCGGAATTTCACCGTCGGAATTCGGATACTTCCAACCACCAAATCCGCGCATCTCAATTGCCTTTTTTCGCTCACTCCATCATAAAAGTAATTTCTTATTCAAACAATGTCCAAATAAATTTTTAAGTTCAAAAACCTGGGTTAATAGAGAGGCTAGTGTTTGTATTATCAGTGGCCTATTTATCCATATTATTACTCTTGTAATTGTACATCCTTTGGTTATTAGGAGTACAATATTAGTATTTTTGTTGTCAATTCAGTTTCCCAAGTTTTTTCTATCCTTAATTTTCATGTCAAAGATTCGTTTTTTTTTTACTGTCCAAAGGGGGGAATTTTGGGGGAAATTCGGAAAGCCCTCGAAAGATTTTTATTATTTGTTTGTTTTGATGTACGAACTACTACTAGATAAACTTTATGTGAAGAGTTACATTAGAGTGGTCTGTTTGTATCAATGATGATATTTTCAATTTTCTGAGTAAAATTTACTATACTGGCTTTTAAAGATTGGAACTTTCGCAATTTTTTTTTTGTCTCAAAGTTGGAAACTTAAGCCATGATCCTTTTCTCCAGCTTTCTTTTTTGGCTAACATTTTCATACAGTTGACACAACATAGACATTTTCCCACCTATAGGCATTACAGAATTCAGCTATATATTCATGAAGCCACAACTGATTTGAGAATTTCATGCCAGATGCGCTTCAACAAATGTGACTTAGTAATTTATTAGATTTGTGGCTTACGAATTTGGGCCTGTGCTTCTAATACCTAATGCAGCCTATGTTCTTTTTTTCAAGGAGATTATTTAAGTTATGGGTTTTTGATGATGTTTTGTTTGCTCTATATTTGAAGGAAGCCTCGGAAATAGCTATCAAGATCTATAATTGCTGAAAGCCTTCTCATTCTTGATGGGAGAGAAGTGTGCAAGGAAAGAGCAGCGACTGGAGGACCGAATCAGTCAACTCCCTGATGAAATTCTTATCTATATCCTCTCTTTTCTAAGACTTGAAGGTGCTACGAGAACGAGTGTTCTTTTGAAACGTTGGATTGATCTTTGGACGTTCATTCCTAGGCTTAATTTTGATGCTTCAAGTGATTTGGCTGAGATTGGGAATTTAGATGGTGCATGACGAAACTCAAGAGAGCATGTTGGTTTTCTCAAGTTGAGGCATCAGAAACGTGAGAAGTATGTTGAGTAGGTTAACAAGGTGTTGCAATCACACAAATCCTTGGATTTGGACATCTTCAGAATTTGCTTTGATTTGAATGAATCTTACTAAGATCAAATTGATAAATGGCTTAAGCATGCTTTTGCAAGGAAGATAAAGAAACTGGATATTAGCGTGGGTAAAACTTCCACTAAAAAGCCCTATGCTTTTCCTCCAAGCGTCCTTGCAACATCTCGTTATGGCTACTTTGACAATGGCATGAATAATTGCCCTGCATCGCATGGGTTTAAGTCTCTCCAGGCATTGACTTTTAAGTGTGTAAGAGTATCTGGCAGAATTCTCAAATTTTTCTTGCATAACTGTCCTTTTCTTGAATATTTGGCAGTGGTGCACTCTAGGTGTCTTAAAACTTTAGAAGTATGCGGCCCATCTCTTCCACTAAAACATCTGAAGATTATGGCCTGTCCAAGTTAAGTTCCCTCACTATAAACGATTCAAATTTAGTTTCACTTAAAGCCTCTGATGGGAACGTATTGAGGCTTAAGAATGTTCCTATGCTTGTTGACGTATTAGTAGCTGAAAGGTCTCCTGGTTTGGTTATCGGTGTTATTTCCTGGCTCTCCTGCCTCTTGTCCCAACTCGAAGTTCTTACCTTAAAAACCAGGCTTAATGTATGGAAATATGATTCTCATGTTGTAGTTCCCCGACTCCCTAAATTGAAGCAATTTTGTTTAGCTGTCGTGGCAACACAGATTCCAGCCTGATTCCTTTTACTTCTTTTATAAGGGCATCACCCAACTTGGAAAAGTTCATACTGGACTTGGATTGGAGGTATCTTAGATTTAGATGGGGTAGAAAACACAAGAGAGGTGTAAACTTTCCTCTTGAACAGCTTAGAGAAGTTGAATTACATGGATATTGCGGTCGAATAGCTGAAGTTGAACTTGTTGAGTACTTGTTAGAAAATGCTATTGCCCTTCAGAGAATTGTTGTCGACCCTCGTCATCAGCCATTCTGTCGAGGTGTTGTTGCTGCCCGTGACAAACCTAAGGAGCAGGGAAATGCTAGAAATTTTGCCAAAGATCAGTTGGAGAAACTAGTGCCTTCACATGTTGAGTTGGTGATTCTTTAGCTGCGGTATGCAATATAAGGTCGAATTTTTCAAGTTATATGGATCTTGTAAAAATGATGTTCTTTTCCTTTCGTCGATTTTCTTGTTGGCTTAGCTAAGAAGACGAAAATGTCGACAACAGTGATTTTAACTTCATAAAAAAAATTAAAAAAAAAAAGAAGAAGAGAGAAAATTTGTAACTTTTATCTTGATATTTCAAAAAAGCACTAGAAAACAACAAGCATCATAAAGCACAATCATTAAGGTTTCAATAAATTTTTAATAGCATCATGTTTTTCGTAGAATTATGAAACCGACGACCGAGTATAAAATCTAGTGCATGGTATAAGTTTGTTTTTTTCATATTTGCAGGGTGTCCACCATCGGCAACAGTGACTAATTCCCTTCGCTGAATTGTAGGCAACTTGATGGGAGGTATAAGTTTGTTCCGCGTTATCTTTCACATTAGCCATGGCCTATACACAAACACGATAATTTACTTTACTACCGTAAAACATTGAGAAAATGATCCAAAAAACAATATATAGTGACCTACATTGGCTTTCTCGTTAGTTTAGCTAAATAGATGTAAAAGTCGCAGTATCAATCTTAACAAAAACTATAAATATTTTGTGACTTTTAAATTTTTACTAATGAATCGAAGACTATTTAAAAAAAAACTTTATGCACTTAAAACTCAGTAGCGTTTTTCAATCGATTTTTTTGATAGGTGTTTAGTTTTAGTTGAATTATTATGAACCTCGACAACCTAGTGAAAAATGAAATGCACGGTATCAAGTTCATTTCGTACCGATTTTCACATTATCCGTGGATTGTAGACACAATATTTTCATATACTATTATCAATATAATTGTGAAAATGCTACCAAAAAAATATGTATTTTAGTATTCGCCGACTTTCTCGTCTGTTTAGTTAAAAAGATGAATAAATGGGCGAACAAAATTTCTAAAAGAAACATACACATTTTCGTGACTTTTATTTTTATATTGATATGTTAAAGAATAATTTAAAGCAACAGCAAGAAACTCATGTTTCATCTCCTTAAAATATTTTTGATCGCGTCAAATTTTTATTTTTTGTTCGTGTTATGAAAACTAACGATATAGTACAAATGGGTATCAAATTTGCCCACATCGACTTTCACATTAATTATGAATATTGTTGCAACAATTTATTATACTGCTATCGAAAGTTTGTGAAAACAATGTAAAACAATGAATTTTAGCTTTTATGTGGTTTTGCTAAGTTGTCAAAAAAAAAAATGACGCTCACAACTTTACTTAAAACAAAATATTTTGTAAACCAAAGCAATAATATGTTTTCTAAAACTCAATGGTTAAGTGGTTTGATTCTTGAATATTGTAGGCTTTTATAGAGTATCATTAATGGCCTAATGGATTTTTGGATATGATATTAAGTTAACTCATGTCAACTTTCATATGGACCAGACAATGTTGATGCAATCTATATAACCATACAAAGATATAGGAAATGGTACAAAATAATAAATTTTTGTGTTTGTAATACATTTTACATTGATAACAAAAAATAAATTTATTGAAAGCTAATACCATCTATAAAATGATAGGAAAAAATAGATCTCATCATCGGCTGCAAGAATGAGAAAAGTCGATGAAACCATTTCAACAAGTAAACATATCGTTAGTTCACAGGGAGTCTATAAATATATGTACACCCCAAATATAGTATCACTGTGTAGTTTGTATCATCAAAGGCTAATTTTGAAGTCCTGATTTTCTTCATAACCAAAAAAATAAAATAAAATTGGTTAACCAGATGACAACACCATCAAAAAGATTATAAAATAGTGTAAAACATCAAAATTAGGCATTCGTTGGCTTTGCTAAGTAGACAAGAAAGTCGACATGAGCAATTTCAAAATAAATCATCTTGTAGAAAAACAAACCAAGGCTGAAAAGAATAGATATCAAAATTCGACGTTGACTGTTTTTGGGGAGAGGGAAGGTTGAATATGTAAGTTGGCTAAAGGTCAAGGGTTGGGAAATTGTACTGTTATAAAAATCGGGGGTCTTATTTTGCTATGGTTCAAAACTTGGGCCCTTTTAAGTTCAAAACCTGGCCTAATGGTGAGGCGAGTGTTCTGCTTTTTCCATTATTCTTCTCCTTCCAAAAATTGAGGTATTCTTGACTGCATTTATCGATATTAACCCAGGTTCTTTTCGATTTTCTCTACTGCTTGTATGTCTTTCCATATGTCAATGGTTGACACAATTTAATATCTGCTTGTATGATTGTATTGTATCCATGCTTAATGAAACATTTTCTGAGTACAAGTGTAGATGTGTGGACAAGCTGATTAGTACTCTTGTAATTGTGTATCTTTTGGTTATTAGGAGTACCATTTTTGTTAATTTTAAGTTCCCATGTTTCATTTTCTTTGTCTGGAGGGGGAATTTTGGGGGAAAATCGGAAAGCCCTAGAAAGATTTTTATCGTTTGTTTGTTTTGGTGTACGAACTACTAATGGATAAAACTACATGTGAAGAGTGGTTACATTCTGTTTATATCAATGATGATAATTATTATTTTGCGAGTAAAATATTCTACTGGCTTTTATAAAGATTGGAACTTTGGCAATTTTGTTCTCAAAGGTATAATTTTGTGAGTAAAACTTTCTACTGGCTTATTAAGATTGGACTTTGGCTAGTTTTTCTCCTCAAAGTGCGAAACTTCAGCCATCTATGTTCTTTTTTCAAGGAGTTTTTTTAAGTTATGGGTTACTGATTATGTTTTGTTTGCTCTATATTCGAAGGAAGCCTCAGAAATAGCTAGCAATATCTATAATAGCTGAAACCCTTCTCAATCTTGATGGGAAGGAAGTGTGCAAGGGAAGAGCGGCGACTGGAGGATCGAATCAGTCAACTCTCTGATGAAATTCCGATCGGTATCCTCTCTTTTCTAAGGCTTGAAGATGCTGCGAGAACAAGTGTTCTTTCGAAACGTTGGATTGATCTTTGGACGTTCGTTCCTAGACTTGATTTTGATGCTTCAACTGATTTGGCTGAGATTATGAAATTGAATAATGCATGGCAAAACTCAAGGCAGCATTTTGGTTTTCTCAAGTTGAGGCATCAGAAACGTGAGAAGTATATTGAGTGGGTTAACAAGGTGTTGCAATCACACAAATCCTTGGATTTGGATACGTTAAGGATTCGCTTTGATTTGAATGAGTCTCACCAAGATCAAATTGATGAATGGCTTAAGCATGCTTTTGCTAGGAAGATAAAGAGACTGGATATTACCTTGGGTGATATTTATACTAAGAAGCCCTGTGCTTTTCCTCGGAGCCTCCTTGGCTACTTTGACAATGGCTTGAAAACTTGCCATGCATCGCATGGATTCAAGTCTCTCCACACTTTGACTTTTAGGTTTATACGAGTATCTGGCAGAGTTCTCAAATTTTTCTTGCGTAACTGTCCTTTTCTTGAATATCTGTCAGTGGTGCACTCAAGGTGTCTTAAAACTTTAGAAGTATGCGGCCCATCTCTTCCACTGAAACATCTGGAGATTACAGACTGTCCTTGGTTAAGTTCCCTCACTATAAGTGATTCAAATTTAGTTTCACTTCACACTACTCATGGGAACAGATTGAGGCTTACAAATGTTCCTATGCTTGTTGACGTATTACTTGCTGGATGGTTTCCTGGTATGGTTATCGGTGTTATTTCCTGGCTTTCCTGCCTCTTCTCCCAACTCGAAGTTCTTACCTTACGAGCCAGGTTTACTGGACCGGAATATGATTCTGATGTTGTAGTTCCTCAACTCCCTAAATTGAAGCAATTTTGTTTATCTATCTTGGCATACGCAGGTTTTAGCCTGATTCCTTTTACTTCTTTAATAAGGGCATCACCCAACTTGGAAAAGTTCATACTGGACTTGGATTGGAGGTTTGATATGGTTGTATGGATTAGAGAACACAAGCGAGCTGTAAACTTTCCACTTGAACAAGTCAAAGAAGTTGAATTACGTGGATATTACGGTCGAACAGCAGCTGAAGTTGAACTTGTTGAGTACTTGTTAGAAAATGCTATTGCCCTTCAGAGAATTGTTGTCAACCCTCATCATCAGCCATTCTGTCGAGGTGTTGTTGCTGCCCGTGACAAACCTGAGGAGCAGGGAAATGCTAGAAAGTTTGCCAAAGATCAGTTGGAGAAACTAGTGCCTTCACATGTTGAGTTGGTGATTCTTTAGCTGGGGTAAGCAATATATGGATATTGTAAGAATTCATATTAAGCTATGACGTGATGACAGAAATCAATGGCTGTTTACTAAAAAAATGATACTACCAAATCAGATAACCAGGCGGTGGAGGTGGAGGTGGATAACCAGGGTGTTGTTAATCTGACTAAATCAGATAGCTAAACATTAGGAGTCCATATCTGGATTTTTTTGGGTATAAGAGAGCTGATGAGTAGGAGTTGGTCTATCGAGTTGAAAGTATGTTGTTTGGATAGCGAATTTTGCATGTTTGGGTTCTTTAGCATAAGGGTGTCAATGGGTTTATGTACTGCCGGTTAGAGTAGGTCCATGGTTGGAACATGAAATCATCGGAGTTTCTCACCTACGGAGCATTGTAACATGATCTCATAGGCTGCTACTTCGTTTATCCTACCAAAAAAAAAAAATTATCAAGGAATTAACTGCCAAACAATAACATAATTAAGAAAATTACAAAAATGATGTTCTTTTGCTTTCATCAATTTTCTAGTTGGCTTAACTAAGAAGACGAAAAGGTCGACAACTTTCAACTTGAAAGAAAGGAGAAGAGAAAACTTGTAACTGTTATCTTGATATGATAATGCAAAAAAGCACTAGAAAACAACAATAAGCATCATAAAGCACAATCATTAAGTTTCAATAAATTTTTATAATAATATTTTTAGTCGATTATCAAAATCAACGGGTATAAAATCTAGTGCATAGTGAAAACGATAAACGATAAAAAAATATTGTGACCTATATCAATTTTTTTTTGTCGGTTTTGTTAAATTGATGTAAAAATCAATATATTAATCTTAACAAAAACTAAATATTTTCTCACTCTTATAAAATGGTACTCCTAATAACAAAAAAGTAAATATTTTGTCGATTTATTCAAAAACTAATACCGTTAGAATATCTAAAAAAGGATAGAAAAACTGAGATGATGCAAGGTAGACGAAAAAAGTCGAAGAAAACCATTTCAACAAGAAGTGAACATATCGTTAGTTTGGAACCGAAAATTAATTAACCTAAAACTAAAACAATAAATTTAGGCATTCGTCGGCTTTGCTAAGTAGACAAGAAAGTTGACGCGAGCAATCTCAAAAATAAAAACATTTTGTAAAAAGAGAACCCAGCTGAGAAGAACACATAAATTGGATGAAACGACATAGTTCAGAATCCTCCGGCTTCATTCACAAAACCCCAACTGAGACTCTTCCCGTTATCAAAGATCGCCGGACTTCCACAGCCGGAACTCCGATACTTCCAACCGCCAGCATGGTGACGGATCGAATTCCTCCGCTCATATCCGCGCAGCTCAATTACCTCTTCACTCACTGCCCTTACTCCATCAAGGTAATTTCTTAATTCAATCGCTCACTAATGTAGCCAAAACTAAACCGACATTTTAGTTGTACTCTTTGGATAATCAATTGAAGCGTTAAATTAGGGTTACATTTTTAATTTTCTTATTTTAGGTGGAGCAAATGTGGTCTGGATGCAAGAACTCTGCATTGCATGATCGGTTTACATTGGCTGTCCCTTTTTGCCTCGATTACATTCGATGTTAGTATTCGTTTTTTTTATTTTTATTTTTTTTATTTTTTCATTTGATACCAATTACTTAGTTACATTATTGCACTGAAACTTTTTTTTTCTTGAATTGTGTGTTTTGCCAGGGGATATAATATTCGATGCACTTTATCCGTTGGCCCAACCAGATGTAATATTTGGTGCGGATGATGGAGATTTTAGGCCGTATCATGGCATCGGTGATGCGAAAACTGCTTTTACAGATTGGAATAGTAGAGACCCTACTCGGCTATTGTCGCTCGTTCTTGAACTTAGGTTAGAGAAGCTTACACATGCATAATGTGAAAATTTTGTGCAGAGTTTAATGGCAGCTGAATGTTTTGCTTATTTTGATTTGTTAATCAGAAATTTATATAGTGACTACCAAAAGAAAAGAGTTGGTGAAGTTGACGATGAGAGGTTGAAGTTTGAGATCAGTACAATGATATCAAGAGAGGTAAGCTATAGCTTGGTTATGAATTTTGGAAAAAACTAGCTATCTTCTGTACTAGTCACTCTGTGCTTTTCTTGCTTTTTGTAAGTATACTTTGTGAAAAATGAGGATTGCGGAGCTTATAACCAATATCAGTTCCATGTATGTTGTTATCTTCAATTGCTAATTGATGCCCTGTTGAGATATTGTCTCAAATACTTGTTCCCTCACTGGATGATGTTTGGCTCAACGGCAGGAGTTGTTGAAATCTGTTAGTTTTCCTTTGGGTGTATGGTTCTCATTACTATCTTTGGAAGCACAACCACAGGCTTAACTTATTTTTGACAAGTGTTATAAGTTATTTGTTTTTTCTTGAAAACTATTTCACACTCCCAAGTCCCAGCTATAAGAACAAGAAATGGTTATTTATAGTCGTAATGCTTAGGAAGATGGTTTGTCCTTTCCAAAGAATATTGCTGTAATAAGTATTAACCATTTACACCTGTGTGAGGTTCGCTTCATAAATCACATTCCAGTTGTTTTTTCATCACCACACAATTTCTTGGAAAACCTCATGAAATGTGACCAATTTCTTCTGTCCGTTGATGTCATGCAATACTTCTTTATATAGACATAGGACAGATCATTCTAATAACCTAAAAGTGATGAGGATGGTGTTTGATTCAGAGAACATTTACTGACTACTAATTTCCCTTGCTGCAGGGAATCGAAATGTGTTTGAGTTCAGGGATTGACAAGGTATTTTCTATTAAAATATACGGGTAATTATTATCATCTTATTCCTGGATTGGAGTTTTTTCTCTTCTAAGTTCTAATTTCAACTCTTTGCAGCCAGAAGAAGTCAAATTTTCCGTACCTTTATTGGATATGGATTTAAACAAAATGGTTGCTGGATCCACCTGGAGGCATCAACAAAAAATATTCTTGCAGGTTCCTTTGCAATTTTCTGGAATGAGGACAAGCCAGAGTTTCTAGTTTTTTTCTCTTATTCTACCTTGAATGAACATCTGTACCAAGCATTATTAGCCATTTGATATCGTTTCTTCCTTCAAAATGTAAAACTATTTCCATCTCTTAGCTAAGCAAGCAATGAATTAGTAGTTGTTAAAATTATATTCTGTTCTACTTTCTTTTCTTATTTTTAAACGGTACGTTTTACTTTCTTGATGTTATGAATTTCTACTTCTACATTTGGACTCAATACGAGATCAAACTGTTTCGTTTCTTTGAATTCTACAAATGACTTTACAAGCTGGTGTGACACATTATGCTAGAAGTTGAGATGCTGTTATGAATTTCACCACAGATGTAATGTAAATGATGCTGTTGCTTATGTCACCCTCGATCCCTTTCCAACTAATTTATTTGTCTTTTCATGTACCAACGTATGCAGGTTATATATCCTGTGACTAGAAACCATTCAACGAAGCCATCAGCACCGCGGCTGAAGTTAGTTTCTTCTCCAGAGTTGAGGTCATGGTTTTCTGTTGAAGATTCCAGGCTTCCATCTTGGGTGGATGGCATGTAAGTTATTGGCATTGTTTTCATTTTCGGAACCCCTGTTCTCAAATCTTTATTGTTACTCCTAAAGCATTCATTGATCACAAAGAATTTTATCTTATTGTATACTACACTCTTCTTCAAAATTTGGTTTTCACATGTAGGTGCATGGCTGAGTATCTGCCAAATTTAGAGTCGATGCTTGATAATCAGGTGCGGTCCTTATTCTCAGTCCTCATAAATCATCTATTTCAACTTGTTAATTGGTGCAAATCATAGTTTCCGATTGTATGATTCTATAGATTAAAGAGGCAGTTTCACTGATTGACGTTAGAAGAAAGTTCATCGCTGCATTATCTGGTCTTTTTGGAAGACCGCTTGAAGCCGATATGGTGAGCATCTTCACAGGTCTGTTCTGTAGTTTTCTTTACTTGCTACCAAAACTGAGTATGTTTTCTGCGTTCTTTGCCAGGTCTTTTGTAGGAAGGTGTCATTTCTGGCTGCCTCTGGTACATTCACCTTTATGGTATGTTTACTGACATTTTTTAGTTCTCAATTTTCTTCCCCATAGCTCACGATTTTGTAGGGAATATATTAACACTCCTTGTTTTTATTTTGTTTATGCTGTTTCACTTTTATTTCTGCATTTGACTTTGTGTTTTCCTGATGTTGGAAAGCTGGCTTAAAATTGATAGTTTATCTTTGTTTTCCCAAACTCTGATAGTCTACCTTAAAGGTGACGTTTTCTTATTGTTTGATAAATGCAATATGATATTAATGTGTAGGTTCATTTTTCGCTTCCTCTGCAATTTCCAAAGCAACAACCGCTTGTGATGCTTCAGAGTTCTCAGGTATGATTTCTCAATCTAAGGATTGGGTGTTTTTGGGGTCTTCTTTTTGCTTGAACTTTCAACTCGATGCAAGATATTTGTCACATGGGCTACCAAAGCGAAGGATGTTATTGGTGCTATAGTTCCTAGCGGACACAATTGCACTTATACCTTCTTCATTCTTCTCTGTGCACTTGTTACCTATCTATGGCAATAGTTGACTTCTTGCTGATCCTTTTTCTGCTTTGGTCTTCTGCACAGCATTTTAGTGGGAATGCGCCCATTAAATCACCTATTATGAATGGATACCCATGGAGTCCCAGGTGGGAAGTGTCGGAAATGGCTGATCGGATTTAGTAAGTTGTTACTACTACCTTCAAGTTAATTAAGACTATTTGCTAGTTTAAATCGTCCATTTACTTGGTTTACAAGCGGGCATGTTATACTCTCTGTAATCTAAACTCAAGAGTTTACTCAACTCTAAAATCCCACTAATTGAGGCATTTTGGCAGCGATTACCTGGCGGATGAATGCTTGAACTTCAAGAAGTACTGCAGTGAGGGCACGGTACAACAACGTTAGTTTCTTATGATTGTACGGAGATGGTTATGTGTTGTCGCCCTTTTGCCCTCAAAATCAGTATTTTGATTAGGGATAGAGATCCAGCTTTTGTGTGTACATAAAAAAGGGGCAAAGAGACATGAATCCATGTAGCTAAAATCCCAAATGGTATGTGGTGCCATTTTATCTCCTTGTTCTGTAGCATGTATAAAAATTTTTAATTTTTTTTTGTCAGTCCAGATTTCTTGGATTCTGATCTATTGAGAGATGAAACCCTCAAGTGGTGCTCTGAAAACGTTAATTGATAACTTGGGAACTCAGAAGCCAGGTCTGCCAGATCTTGATTCTTGAAGAAAGAATAATCCAGTCACACCATGAATCATGATGAATGATTGATCAATAAAAAATATCGAGATCGTGTGGCGGAGTCGTTTTCAGGCTTTCATTTCCATTCAGAACATGTTCTTATGTTACTTTCCCTGGATCTAAAATTTGTCCAATGAGATTTTACCAATTTCTACAGAAGAAGCTCAAACCAATAATATACAGTTGGTAGTACTTTTGACTAAAACATGAAGGTGGATGGTAAACTTTTTAATTACTTACGGATGATATTAGCAAGTTGTTGTGTTGGAAATGAAGAGAGGAGCAGGATGAATGTGGCACCGACTGAACATGGTTAGAGTACATGGGGTTAACATGAATGCTGCCATCAAAGATCACAATCCAACAGTGTTTCATGTCCCCACCGGCTTACCGCAATCATGGAGGGTCACAACAATAATAATTTAATTACGAACAATACCACAACAATTTCCTCAGTTGAAGAAATTACTGATGCTCTTCCAATCAAGGTAAAATGGTTGGAAATGCAATTTCTTTCTCTCTTTTCTTTCTTTTTTTTTTTTAATTATCAAGAATGTGTAAAGTAACAAATTAGGAAGTAGGAACCTTTTAACACTAGCTGATAGACTGATGAAATTTCAATGAGGGGATTCAGCACTACATCTCGTTTTTTGATGTATTAGAAATTTTAATGTAAAGTTTATTTAAATATCATCTGAATCATATCGTAACATACTAATATGTAATACGTAATATAATTTGGTAGTTAATGTAGCAATTTAAAACAATTACAATATCTTGATAGTCAATAATGTTAAAGAGCTACCATTAAATCAGATAGCAGACACTAATCATTAATGATTACTCCAGAAGATCCTACAAACGCTCCATTTTACCACCTCTTCCTAATTACATGTCTTTAACTCCTACCAAAACAGAAAGAATACAAATACACCACAAAAACAAAAAAAGGTGAAAAAAAAAAAAGAAAATCCAGTTTTCACCATCGCACGTGGGACCCATTCCTACACACACTCTGCAGCGGTTATGGATTTGCTGTCTGTATTCATCTCCGCTGTCAGTCACACACACACACACACACAGAGAAGACATGACCATTATGATCTCGACCCATCACCTCCATTTTCCCTCTCAAATCTATCCCACCATTTTTTATTTTTTTCACTGCATTTTCTTGGCCTTTTTCCCCTCATTTTTAAAAGTATAAATTCCAATTTTTTCACCACCATTAATGATTTAATTACTAACCCCCCCCTTCAGTTCCCCTTCATATAGAAATATCTTCCTCCCATTTCATTTCCTCCCTCCTCAAACCATTCCTTCCCCCAATCTCTCTTCCTTCTCTCTCTCTCTCTCTCTCTTAAAAAGAAGGGCAAAAAAAAAAATTTAGAAAAAAAACCCAGCAAAAAAAATGAGGGAAATCTTGCACATTCAGGGAGGGCAATGCGGTAACCAAATCGGTTCCAAATTTTGGGAAGTTATCTGCGACGAGCACGGCGTTGACCCCACCGGACGTTACAAGGGTGATGGTTCCAATGACCTTCAACTGGAACGCATCAATGTGTATTTCAACGAGGCTTCCGGCGGCCGGTATGTTCCTCGGGCCGTTCTCATGGATCTTGAGCCCGGTACCATGGACAGCATCAGATCGGGTCCTTATGGTCAGATCTTCAGGCCCGATAACTTTGTCTTCGGACAGTCCGGTGCCGGTAACAACTGGGCTAAGGGACATTACACCGAGGGTGCTGAATTGATTGATGCTGTTCTTGACGTTGTTCGTAAAGAAGCCGAAAACTGTGATTGCTTGCAAGGTTCATTTCTATTTTTCTTATAATATATATATATATATATATATATATATATATATATATGCTCCATTCATCATCATTGCATTTCCGTTTAATTTTGTTGTTTTCGCCGGAGATCTGTTCTGTTCTGTTTATCAGCATTGTTTCCGAATTTTACTTATCTTTGATAATAATTTCTTTGGGCGGTGAGAATTTATTAGATTGGATCTTCAGGGTTACATTTCTTATATTATTAAATTTTTATTGTTGGGCTGCTAGTAATTATTAGGTGTGTTAAAGGCAGGAAAGTTGGGCTAACCTTTTTGTCTTGAGCCTATAAGCAATCATGTGGGGCCCGTCCAATTTCTTTGTCTTAATCAATGATATTTTTCTTGTAGGTGACTTTTGTCATGTTCGAGGGTTTACCTTTCCAACAATGTATAATCTATTCACTTATTTAATTTATCAATGGTATCTGGATCTGGTTGTTTATGGGGTTTTTTTTCCCTTATGATTGTTGGATTTCCCTCTTCTGATATTTTATTAATTTCCCATTTGTTAGTGCACATTAGAGCATCCACATCTGTCCTTTTTTATGAATGATACTTTCCAGACGAGGAGGATAATCACCTGAGCTTTTCATTGTTGACTTTGTTTTTAATTTTGATTGGAGAAAACATCCCATATTTTTCGTTAGACTTCAGAAGGTTCATGTATCGGAGTTACTTGGATGTTCATGTGTCAAATGTAATAGCTTATGGCCAACCTGTTACTTGAAAGTTCCATTTATAAGCTGAATTGGATAGATGAGGTGGGAGTTGATATGATTATTCATGATTGAGACAATTTAATATCGTTCCGTTATTTAGTTTCTTGATTTATGCACTGTATGTATAGCCGCAATCAATGTGCAAGTACTGATATCACTAGCCCTGATGTTGGAACAATACAGGATTTCAAGTGTGTCACTCTCTTGGTGGAGGTACTGGATCTGGCATGGGAACCCTTTTGATCTCAAAGATCAGGGAGGAATACCCAGACAGAATGATGCTCACTTTCTCAGTGTTCCCTTCACCAAAGGTTTCTGACACTGTTGTGGAACCCTATAATGCCACCCTCTCAGTTCACCAGCTGGTGGAGAATGCTGATGAATGTATGGTCCTTGACAATGAAGCTCTATATGATATTTGTTTCAGGACTCTCAAGCTCAGCACTCCTAGCTGTAAGTAACTTGAATTACTGAATAGATAGTGTGAGTTCAGTCATTTCAAGTTAGTATTGGATTCAATCTGAGGAATATTTATGTCTGTGTGTTGCTTGCTTGCAGTTGGTGACTTGAATCATTTGATTTCTGCAACAATGAGTGGTGTTACCTGCTGTTTGAGATTCCCAGGACAGCTCAACTCGGACTTGAGGAAGCTGGCTGTGAACTTGATACCATTCCCTCGTCTTCACTTCTTCATGGTGGGATTTGCACCGCTTACCTCCCGCGGTTCACAGCAGTACATATCTCTCACTGTCCCTGAGCTTACACAACAAATGTGGGATGCGAAGAACATGATGTGTGCTGCTGATCCTCGCCATGGGCGTTACCTGACTGCCTCTGCTATGTTCAGAGGGAAGATGAGCACCAAAGAGGTGGATGAGCAGATGATCAACGTTCAGAACAAGAACTCTTCATACTTTGTGGAATGGATCCCTAACAATGTCAAGTCTAGTGTGTGTGATATTCCTCCTACTGGACTTAAGATGGCTTCCACTTTTGTTGGGAATTCCACATCAATTCAAGAGATGTTTAGGAGAGTGAGTGAGCAGTTTACTGCCATGTACCGGCGCAAGGCTTTCTTGCATTGGTATACAGGGGAAGGGATGGATGAAATGGAGTTTACTGAAGCTGAGAGCAACATGAATGATTTGGTGGCAGAGTATCAACAATACCAGGATGCTACTGCTGAGGATGAGGATGATTATGAACAGGATGGAGAGCCGGAGGCATATGAATGAACGATGAGATGAGCACCTTTTTGAAAGTCCCAAATGATATATATACTCTCTAAATGCAGCATCTTATTTTGAAGTATTGTTACTGTGAAGTGGATGATGATATTTGTTTCTTTCTGCTCCTCATTTGTTGTTCAGTTTCCATGCAACTTTGCAGCTTGTGCTTGTATCATTATTACTCTCTATTACTATTAGTTTCTATTGTTTGATTCAAGAGCGCTCTTTTAATTTTCTTTTATTCGGTTGCATATATCACTAATTCTTGCAGAGTATATTTCTGGATGTGTGGCCAAATGCCAATGTGAAAAAGAGTAAACATTGTTTCAAATTTTTCTCAATTGTAAGTTTTCTCAGTATGACATTTTGGTTGATATTGGTTTGAAGTTGCAAGTTAGAACAACTCATTTCTCCAGAAACATAAAAACAATAAACACTGAAAAGGTTTATTGTGAGGACAAGGTGAGAGACCACCTCGTCCAATGCCAAATGCCAATCTACAAAATTCGGTCGGAAGCTGATAAGATCAACTTTCAAACTAGAACTCATCGTCTTAAGGGTTACAAAATCTACGAAGTGGCGCCGCTCTGAGTATGTACAGTTGCAAAGTTACCCCTCCCTCAACCCTTCAGCTCAAAGAACTACAACCATGGTTCTCCTTGTGATCAGGATCCCATAACTAGATTTAGCACACAGAATTTAACCTCAGTTTCATCTGCAACTTTTGTTCTTGACTGCCATTCTTCTCAACTTCCTAGCTTCCGCAGCTTGAGCTCGGGCTTGGCAGTGAGCAATGAGTCTGGCATAATCCATAGGTGCATTACATTGGGGCAGCCCAACACTCCTTTCCTGCTTTAAAACACCATTATTACTCCAGATTGGGCCTCCGTGATTGACAGCAGGCCCAACAATTGGGCTTGGCTTTTGATAATGGAAATTGAACTTTAGAGTTGGCCCACTAGGGTGTGGGAGTGTTTCTGATATGGTCATCGGTTGTGGAATTAACATGAGTTGGCTCTGCTGCGGTGGTGGTGGCGGCCTGATGACAGCAGTTTGGTACAGTTGATCAGATGATTCTGATCTTAGATTGAAGTTGTTTCTTACTTCCAAATTGTACTTTTCACCCTGTTCGTGGGTTTTACTGTGTGCAGCTAACGCCTATACAAAACGCAGAGGAAGAGGATATGTTTCTGTGAGTTAAAAAAAAAAAATTGGGTATGGCGAAAACAGAGTGAGAGAGAATCAGATGATTTTTTCGGCAATAAAATCACGAATGAACAAACCCAAAAAAAACACATACCAATTTCTTCTCTTCCTTCAGGCTTTTGTTGTAAGCCATTAGCTTATGGTGATAACCAGACACACAGTCTAATTCCTGTTCAATTTTACACGGAAAAAACAACCAAATTTGTTAATTTTTGGCCAAAATATGAAAAAAGAACACGATAATAATGTGGATTCTCAAAACCTCCATACATCAATGAAAAAAAATCAACAGGAAATTCTCAAAACTACTCGCCTTTTTTAGCCTTTTTTGCAATCCAGTCAATTCTTCCACGGTTCGCTTAAGTTCATCTCTCTTCTGCAGATAATAATCAATAAAAACACGTTCAAAATCTAACGAGAGGAAGAAATAAGCAAACAATTTGAATCCAGCAATAAATACAGAAAGGTTTTTAAATGCGTTTCAAGTACAAACAAATAAGGACTCGAATCCAAAGAAACAGAGCCCAAACAAAAAACAGGGGCACAAAAAACCAGCAAAAAATCCCCGGATGAAGTGAGGTTTTGAACAGATGAGGAAGAAGATAACTAAAAACATACCCTTTTATATCGAGAATCGGATGAAGAATTGTCTTCAGATTCAGAGCTCTGCGAGAAACATAAGGGAGTGTTGGGACTGGTAACCGGCGCCGCCACTTTGCTGACAGCCTCTTGGCCGGAAGTCGACGCCGCTGTCGTCATCATCTCCGGCGTCTTCACGACTGCTAATGTGGTACACGCACTTGAATTCCTCCTGGTTCTGTACCGAATTATTTTCTGCGCACCCCAATTCAGATTGAATGATGGTTTCCTCACTCTCTCCACTTCCGGATTAATTTCTCGGATTTTAGTCATGAATTCAGCAATTTCGAGTTCGGTCTCATTCCACCGGGAATGATTGCCGTTTATCTCCATTATCATATTCCTCTGTTCTTTCTTGCCGTTAATCATGGAAAAAAAAATTAAAATTTATCGGCGATTCTGGGCAAAAAGGATTACGATAGTGCAAAAGGGTTCATCAGGAATTTGAAATACAGTGCGGAATAGGGTTCACCAAATAAATTCCTCGCGGAAATTATCAAGGATTGATGACAAAGAAAGATGAAATAAGCGTTTTTTTTTACTTCATTACTTGGGCAGGAAGTGGTTCCTTGTTTTTTATAGCCGGGAAAGGTGATTGGGGGGCTGGATATGCTACGTGTCATCCAGATGTTGTCTCTAGGGTTTAGGCAAAAACATAAGATATGGTGGTAAAACTGGTAATATAAAAGTTAGGGACTTAATTATAGTATAAGACCCCTATGTTATTGGTGACTTCGTTTTAGCTCCTGAAGTTAGTTATCTCTACCGGGATTCACCCCCCAGTTTGAGATTTTGTTTTGCGGATTTTCATGTCCTTATGAGTTGATTGTTCTCTTGTTAAAGGTTAAGGATTGTTCAAATACATAGACTACATCTTGTCTCAAGACTTTATAAGTGTTACAAGAGCTTAATCTTATATTTACGGGCTAACAAAACTTGAAACTTGAAACTTCAAAGAGCGAAAATTTCACGAAAATGTAATTGTAATACACTTTACTCAATAATATGAAGATTAACTGAGTTTGATACTCAACTTCTTAAGTATTGCCATAGTGTATACACTATAGGTAAATTGTGCCAATGTGTTCAAGATTAAGAAAGAAAAAAGCATTTAAAGTAATGAACTTCATTATATGCTGCAAGTTTAACAAGAATGATGCTTTACGCAACAATTATCAAACTTTTAATAGTACATCAAACACAAAAACTACTCAGATTGTTAAACACGAGTTTCACGGACTTGCAAGGTAATTCAATAGCATATCAGTATCAGAAAAAGATAAATAGAATTAAGCAACCATTTCCTATGAAGTACCACTAATGAAGATGTTCATAAAGCTTCGTTTCAAAAGAAGATGTTCATCATTAAGCCGATTTCTAAGATTCAACCATTTAACAGGCGCAGAGAGTATCATCCTACAAATACTTTAATGGTGAAATAAGATCCCTGAAACAGGTACAAGGCAATAAAGTTATCTATCTATATATCAAGGCTTTTAACCAAGTCAAACACTCAACCAGTTCTCTGTTTCTTTGGTCTTATAACTTCGAAGTCATCATCATCGTCTTCCAATTCATCTTCTGAAGATGAATCACCCTTCTTGCATTTCTTAACCGGCTTTGATGACGAAGCCTTTGAATCTGGTGTTTTCTTCTTCTGGGTTGAAACTGGGGAGGAAGATGTTTTTTTCTTGACAGTGGTAACAGATTCGGCCTTTCTCTTAACAGTAACAGAAGTTTTCATAGGTGAGTTAAGTCTTTGCTGCTGGGCTTTCTTCTGTTTCTTCTCAAAAACTTTCTTGGCAATGTCTTTGGTAAGTAAACCAGATTCCATCATCCTGGAGTTTCTCCAAAGATTAAGCATAAAATCAAAACTTTTAGACAACTAATACACAAAGCATAAGCCCATATTATAAGGACAGACGTCCTTAAAATACAGATAGAATCTATCATTGTTTTCATAGCATGGTGTATGAGACATGAAGGTCATATATATATATATATATATATATATATATATAACTAACCATGACTTCAATATCACTTAGGTTTTGCAGAAAGTAACATGTCTGCAGTCAACAGATTATTGAAATAAAAAGTCTGGAACTACATGTTTTCAATTTGCAGTTTCCAGAAAATCACAATCTGTTCTCAAATTTAGTAATCGGAGTTTTAATAATTTGACTAGTAAGTTCCAGAGAAGGGACCAGAAATTCGACATAACACTCACCCAAACAGCTTTACCAGTAACAGGGGAAGATTTAATACCACAAGAATTCCGACTTCAACTTATTGCCAAACCCTAAAGTGTCCCCCTCCCTTCCCCCTCCTCTCGAAGCTGAGTATTTTCCATCAATCACATTATGTTAAATAGCCAGCCAAATTCCAGACACAATGCCATCTCACTTTATGAAGTAGCTAAATTTCCAAACCTAATGGCAGCAAAGTACATGATTTAATCTCCTAAAGGACAATGCCAGAAAGGAAAAATGAAAAACACTCAACCACTGCGCATGAAATTGTTTTTCGAATTCAACACTCAAGTACTCAACCACCATACATCAAATTGTATTTTGAATTCAAACACTCAAGTTCAGATCCATTAAGTTAAAGACTCAAACCTCAATGAGCTAAAAAATTGGACAATTTGATGCTCAGCAACTAACATTTGGAAGAACTAAGTACAGATGCACGGAAACGCACGAAGAAAGAGGCCAGAACTTCATACCAAATTGCAGCCATTTCACTATTTGGCACTTGTTCATACAATGACTTGTAAAAGATCCTCAAAGGGTCCCTCTGCAAATGAAAAGATTCATTGTACTATATAAGTTCCGCAGAATTTCAACAAAAGGAACACACACACACACGCGCGGACATAATAAAAAGGGGGAAACAAAAACACCTCCTCAGGAGGGTCTCTCTTCTGGCCAGGCAAGTCATAGACTTTCTTTTCCCTCTTCTTAGGGGCTTCAGATTCTTTACCTCCCTTCTTGGTTTTCTTCCTCTCTTCCTCCTCTTTAACTATTTTCTTCTGCCACACCATTCAAAAAAACAAAAACTAAATTTTGTAGAGAGAAATAAATTAAATGTATAATAATGTACAAATAAAAACCCAAAAATACTGGAGGAAAACCAACCTTATCAGCGGGCTTAATTGAGCTTTTCTTGGAAGAGGATTTTTCTTCAAAATCTTCGTCGGCTTCTTCTTTCTTTAATTTCTTGGTTTTGGCAACTGTTGCTGCCTTCGGGGTGCCATTGGTGTTGTTGGGCTTTTTCTTCTTCAACAAACCCAATGGCTTTCCGTCGTCGTCGTCGTCTTCAACCTCTTGCATCTTAGGCATTGGTTTTGAGTCCTCTGAAGGCATTTTCTCCGGCCAGCTAGAATCGAATCCGAATTCTTCCCCGCTAAACTGGAGAAGGAGAGAAGGCAAGGGTTTTGCTTTTCACTGCTAGATGGGGCTCCGACTTCGGATACTGCGAAAGATCTGGGTGATCCGGTTACTCCATGGTTACTCTTTGGTTTTGGTTCCAATTTAAAGCCCAAAGGATTCTTATCGGCCCACTATGTCCATTATAACCAATATTGAGCAGGCCTATTTAATTGTAATTTTCTCAAGAATTGAATACGTTTGAAGGCGGGAGTAATGAATAACGCCTTAGGCATAACGGTTGACTGGTCAAGGTCAACGCTTTTTGACCCCACGGCAGATTGAATTCCCAGAGACGTGGCAGTTCAGGTACTGCCACGTGGCGTATTATGCCTGAGACACCAGAGCTCTGAAAGCCTGAAATCTGACACCCAGATTTATTTCTGAATTTCTTATATGTAAATGAAAAGAAGTAATGTTTAGAAAAACAAAAGCTAAAAATGGAATGGAATACTTCAGTAGAATTTATAACTAACTAAAAAAACCAGATGCTTCGAGGAAGAAAAGAAGACAAGCGTAACACTTAAGCTGCGCATCACAGTTCACAACCCAACTTTTCTTATTCCACTTTTTGTATCTAACATCAAATTTCAGGTAGAGAGGATTTTGCAGAGAAATTAAAGGAGCATGGACAATCCGGAGCCGGTGCCGATGTTGAGAGAAAGGAGGCCGGGGATAAGCTGGAGAGACCAAACTTTAGCTTCGCTGTCAGCACCGCCGTTGCCGTTAATGGTCATATTTGGGGTGGTTGTTCTGTTACTTTATCTGGCAACTTCCTCTGATTACAAATCCCAGGTGGAAAAAAGCTTGGCCGGATTCAAGGTGCTGCTTTTCCTGTTGCCCTTGGTGTTGATTCTGGTGGTGCATGTGATGATGGTGAGCGAGAGGTGGCTTAATAATCTCAGATACTCGAGGTTGTTCGGAGCACCGGAGGGCGGCGGCGGCGGTTCGCCGGTGTTGCTGCTGTTGGTGGTGGTGGGTCTTTTGGTCTTGGTTTATTATCACTCTTTGATCAAGTCCAGCTGGTTTCATCCTGTTTAATCCGAGGCATGCCAATGGAGTTTATAATTAAGAGAAAAGAAAGCATTTGCCCTTATTTGTTGAAGGTTAGATCACGAATGTTGTGTTGTGTGATTGTCATCAAGTTTCGTTTTTTCCCCCCTTCAGTTTGCAATGTATAAAGGATGAAGATGATTCCCTGTTGTTTTGGTTTATAATGCAGTTAAATTTATTGTTGATTATGGTTATCTGGTTTCGAGTGATTGGAAATTCTGATGGTGCTTATGGATTATTAAGAAGAGGGTAAGAATTTGCAGGAAACCCAACGCTTTAACTCTGGATCTGAAGATTAAACCATCAAATAAGCTTTTCATTGGGTAGCATCGGCTTCCTTACAGACTTTTTTTGAAATTCAATGGAAAAAATAACACCCTAAGAACTTGAAATCAATTAAAATAGGGGCAGCTAGCAGAGATCACATAACCCCTGTATTTTTAGGTGCAAATCACATTTTTGTATGATAATAATGAACTGTTAAGCTATTATATCCGTCAAATCCAGCTCTGTCTGATTTTGTGGCTTCCCTTCACCAAGTTTGAGGCCTCGTCTAAATATTCTTTTGTACATCTCCGCAAAAGTGATGGGCTCTTCCAGTAATGGCTTCTCCTCCCCTTCCCTGATATTACTATTGATGAGAGGGTAAACAATGGCTTCTGGTGCTGGATTCTGAAACGTCGCAATCGAAAGCCTGCTGCTGTCCGAGTTCACCACTGCTCGGTGCAATGCGCTTTTGAAACGTCCATTGCTCAAATACTGCAGCAAAAACACACATATACAAGAAATCGAAGAAATTTCAATGTGCACTATTTTCCTGGACGGAACTACTGTAACACTTACATGAACATGATCACCGATGTTAACCACAAGCGCTCCCTTAACGGGCCGGACAGTAATCCAGGTCTTCCCTCCATCCTTGGTAACCTGTAGCCCGCCAACCTGGTCCTGGACCAGCACCGTGATGGTATCCGGGTCAGTGTGCTTTTTAATACCGAGCGTCAGGTCAGGCTGCGGACACTTTGGGTAGAAATTCACCACAATCTTCTGATCCATTTCCAGGCAAGCCTTTGCAATGGCATCCTTCTCCAGTCCCATTGCCTCAGATAATAGCTCCAGTATCTTCCGGGCTAGGCCAATTACATTCTCGCTGTATGCCTCCGTTACCGCTTTCCATCCCTCGGGCTTGTCCGGCCACCTGGAATAGTCCCGGGCACCGATTGGGTATGAAAAAAACGTCACCAATTCCCGCCAGTGCATAACAGCTTCTCCCTTCAAAGGTCAACCAAACCAACAATATTTGAAGTTTTTCATATATATATATTCAAAAGTTATTGCAGCCTTTGAATAATTGACTGACTAATTTAACTTTTTGGGTATGTCAATTAATTGAAACTATACCTGAAGGTGGCTGGATATTATAAAACCGCCCTTTTTACCGCCGGACATATCGAACCGGAGCTTTTCATCATCCGGCAAAGAAAAGAAATCCTGGGAAAGTCTAGTCATTTTGGAAATCAGGTCCGGGTCAATTCCGTGGTCAATTACCTGAAACAAGCCCCATTCTTCACTGGCTTCCGCAATCTTTTCACGTATCTCCGATCTCCGTTCGGCCGAAACGTCAATGCCGGCGAGTGATATCACCGGAATATCATCGCGGAATGCGTTGTGGGCCACCTTGGGTCTCTCGTCTTCACCTCGTACGAACAATTCAGACAGAGTGTTTTCTTGGGCTAGCAACTTCAATGCCGCTGATGTTGAGGCCATGACTAACTTCGATTCAGCACCGTGCAAATTCAGTTGAGATTGAAAGAAATGAGCAAATACGAAATCTTAAGAATCACACGATTAATTGTTTCGGTTGGACTAGGTATATAAACACGTAATCTGGTCTGAAATATGCAAAGAAATCTCACTTTCTGACATCAGATTGACTGACACATAGCATTACTTAGTTAGCGGTGAGTTGTTGTCTGCTTGTACATTGTGATGATTTATGTAATGTGCATATCTTGGCAGGGTAAAACCGGTAATTGAAGAGTAAATGGTTTATTCATAATTGACAATCACTATATGTTATCCCTTTTATATTATATTATTATATACCCTATTAAAGCAGAATAGAAGATGTTGATGTGTCAATTTTTTATTAAAATTTTTTGGCTCCAAATACACCATATTGCATTAACCATTCTGCCACGTGTCATCCCTTTTTAAAAGAAAACAATACCCTATTAAAGCAGAATACAAGATGTTGATGTGGCAATTTTTTATTAAAATTTTTTGGCTCCAAATACACCATATTGCATTAATCATTCTGCCACGTGTCATCCCTTTTTAAAAGAAAACAAAATTCTTATCCGGAGAAATAAAAGTTACTTTACAAAAATAACTACACAATTTTAACTGCTAACATTTATCATTTATCAATCAAATTAAAAATACAAAAGGGAGAATATTAATTTGTACAGCTACCGTCATCAACCAAAGGGAGAATATTTGTTGTCTCGCAAAAGGGAGTACGTACAAATATATGTCGTCACATTGGGGAGTAAGTGTGGTATTTTGGCACGATTTTGGTCGTACTTTTGTGTTTTTTCCAAACCGAAAGAGTATGATGTAATACTATGTATATTTGATGTGTTTTTGCTACAAATTGTCTGTAGAAAAATGTTTTGAGAGCGAGATTGACCAGATGTCGCCGTCAGCAATGCCATCAATTAAAAAGACTATGGTGATTTGTGATTTGGTATCATTAGTGATTAAATTTTATAATGACATATATTGCAACAAAAAAAAAAATCATTTCAAAGCATTATAAACTTTGTAGCGTGTAGCAAATAAAGCACCAAATGCAGACAAATTATTGAACATTAAAATGGGACATAGCTTAAGGGAGAGGAGGGGAGGTCACCCTACGTTTTCTAGGTAAAAAATGGTTATTGGAAAATTAAATATTATTGAAAAATAAAATAAAAAGGTGGTAGTACTAACTAGGATGGTATATGTGTGACAGTAAATCCTCAAGTTTTATAATTAAAAAAATAATTCATAAGATAATGTTTAAGATTTATCCAGAGTCAAGACCATGTTAAATAAAGTACGTATTATATTGTCCACTGTATGGTGTATTGGAGCCAAAACAGATGCATACGTAGTTGACACATGAGCTTCATGTCTTCTACTTTAATAGGGTACAAGGGATTTATTTTCTTGATTAATACAGATTGAGTCGTATAGGTCTCTTTAGTCCCTTCAGTAGTATAGCAAGTTTAAATGCAGGATCAGATTTTGCCTCGAGGGACTTTATTTCCTCCTCAGTAATTAATAACTCTGTCCCTCCAAAAAAAATAGTTCAATTCATTGAAATAAAACCATACATGATACAGCAAATGCTATTTTTCTTGGATGGATGGAGTATTATTAAGCTAGTAATTGCTTCAAATCTAGCTCTTGTTGTTCCTTTACCTAGCTTTTCCTTATTACCAAATCTCTGCAGTTTGGCAATCTCAAGATCTCTACTCATTTTCCCCCTGTACATCTCTGCAAAAGTCATACGTTCTTCAGTACTAAGGTCGCCGGCTTACTGTCCCCTTCACTGATATTATTGATAAGAGGGTACACACTGGCTTCCGGTGCCGGATTCTGAAACGTGGCGATTGAAAGCCTGCTGTAGTCGGACTTAACCACAGCTCGGTGATCCGCGCTTTTGAAACGTCCATTGCCCAGATACTGCAACAAAGATGAGCATGGTCACCTTGACGGGCCGGACGGTGATCCAGGTTTTTCCACCATCTTTAGTTGCCTGTAGCCCACCAACCTGGTCCTGGAGAAGCAAAGTTATGGTGCCTGGATCGGTGTGTCTTTTCAGGCCAAGTGTAAGTTCTGGCTGCGGGCATTTTGGGTAGAAATTCACCACTATCTTCTGATCCATATCCACACAAGCCTTTGCAAGCGCATCTTTCTCCAGGCACATAGCCTCAGATAGTACCTCCAACAACTTCCGGGCCAGGGCCATTAGTTTCTCGCTGTAAAACTCTGTCACCGCTTTCCATCCCTCGGGCTTATCCGGCCACCTGGAATAGCCCCGAGCCCGGATCGGGTATGAGAAATACGTCAACATCTCCCGCCAATTCCGAACTGCTTCACCCTTCAAAGCTCAAAGAAACAACAATATATACATAGAGTTCATAATGCATGCTAAACTTCAAATCAGGTGTACGATGATTTGATATTTAATTAGCTATTTATACCTGGAGGCGACTAGAAACTATAAAACCTCCCTTTTTACCTCCGGTCATATCAAACCGGAGCTTTTCATCGTCCGGCAAAGCAAAGAATTGTCGGGCAAGTTTAGCCATGTTGGAAATCAGGTCAAGGTCTATTCCATGATCAATTACCTGAAACAAGCCCCATTCTTCACTAGCTTCCACAATCTTTTCACATCTCTCTGATCTCCGTTCGCCTGATTCGTCTATTCCAGCAAGAGATATCACCGGAATACCATCGCTGAACACATTGTAAGCTACCTTGGGTCTCTCGTCTTCATCACGCACGAACATTTCAGGCAGAGTTTTCTCTCGGGCTACTAACTTCAGTGGTACTGTAATTGTCGATGGAGCCATTGTTTGAACTAGATAGGTGTTTACCAAGAAAAGAAGTAATGCAAGTTCTGAAATTTTACAATTGATTTAAAAAAGTAATCTTCCCTAAGATGGAGAAAGGAAGATCACATATTGTACATCATAAAAAAGTGGACACATTCCAAACTTTGGCGGTCTTCTGTTGTCCGCTTGTTCATTATGCAGTCTAGTTGTGTTCCTCATGGCGACTTTACGAAAGACAGGGTAATGTAAATCTCTCATTTAATTTTCTTCGACAACTTCAAGGAATGGATTTCTAGTTACCATCTCCAATAACAAAGTAGATGAGAAGGGTTTGATAGTATCAGATTGAATAATAATCATTTATTCACGGTATACAACTATACATTCTTCTGAAATTCCCCTATGTTATCCTAAGAAGTTCTGCTATGTGTGTTTACAGTTAAAAACTCAATGACAAAGGGAGGATGTTTACATTCCAGGGTTAAGAACTGTGGCCATTTTTGTACGTAAAACACTCCCACAACTGGATATGGCGGGATAATGCAAATAAATTTTCGAATCAAACTGCATGCTAACTGTTATACAACAGTGAAAAATTCTCTGAATACAAGCATCAGACTGATACAAACATGTTTGTTTTCAAACTCACCTAAGAAAGGAAGAATTACAGGGGAGGTAATTCAACCAAAGCCCCTTAGGGTACTACACTAACACTAGCATCTAACATGTACATAGAATACATTTTTTTTTCTTTTTTGAAGAGAATACATTTGATTCGCATTTTTGTGATTCCTATAATTTAACGAATAATCAAACGATACATGGAACTAAAATGAATAGAAAATACCAGCAGATACTTGAAGACAGACTAAATGCACAAAACTAAACCGCAGTACAGATTGGCTGTGGAGATCAATGTATATGTATTACTGAGGATGAAGAACCCTTTAGTTTAGGAACTTTAAAGGAGGAATTGAACAATCTGGGAGTGTCAGTGTCATCAGAGTTTGCTTTTTTCCTCTTGGAACTTCTGCTTCCCTACAAAAATCAAAGTGCAATTTTGTGAGCATCTTGTGTACTTATAAAATGGAAAGCAAACCATTGAAGGACTCGTGAATTCTGCTAAACCAAAATGGACTTGACACATTCCAAACACCATGATTTCCTAACATAACAGACATACCTTTTTAATGGAAAACACAAAAAAAAAATCCACCAAGGATGTAACTATTAAGAAAGGTGTCTTCTTTTATAAAAAAATATCCAACTAGTAGAGAGAAAGTCTGTAGTCGTCAGTCTCTTATTTGTAAACGAAAAGCCAACTAATTGAATGAAAGTTTGTAGTTGACAGCCTAAGTCAAGAACAGATCAAAGGATCATTTCTTCCCCAATGCTGAAAAAAGTACAATAAAAAATGATATTTTCCAAGGAATCAGTCTGATTTCAAGAAACGATGCATTCATTACTGTATGATAATGAACAATAACTATGAGAAACTAATAAATATTGCAATTCACTATGCAGCGACAATTTACCTTTTGAAGTCCACAAGAAGACTCCAATTCTTTCTTCACAATCATTGTCCGCACATCCTTGCCTTTCGAGCGAGTGGTAGTGGACTGAGATGAGCAGTGGCGTAAGAGAGGTGTCATATTCATGGATTTCTTTAAGGACTCCAATTCTTTACCAAGTCTGGATGCATCCTCATCCTTTTTAACTAACTCAGATTTCAGCTTGGCCACATCACTTTTCAACATTTCAATCACATTATCCTTACGAGATTCAGAAGATTGCAATTTGTCCATGCTAGCTAAAAGCGTCTGTATCTTCTCATTTGCAGACTCAATTTCAGTGCGCCTCTCATTCAACTGCCTATTCAAATTGCTCTCCATTTGCCTATACTGATTCCAAACAAAGTTCTTCTCAGCAAGCAGGGCATCAATTTCAGCACTTTTCACTAATGCAAGGCGATCCTCCCCTCCTTTTTCATTGACATCAGAGGGATCCTGCGGAATAAAACTAGTCACTCCCTGAGGAATGGTAAACATAATTTTTTAAAATGGAAAGATTAGAAATCATGACATATACCTTTTCCCCGGAGCATTTATCAGATAAGTACTCAAACCATTCCCTAAAGTCAGCCAATTCAGAGTCCAAATTCTCTGCAATTCATGAACACCAAAGGAGGCTGAGTCAACCAACAATAGAAGAAGATCAAATAATCAAATACAACATATCCTTATCAGCAAAAGAGCAAGTTCCATTCAATCATGCTCATGAAAGCCACTCTATGAGCATAAACAAAAGCAAATTCCTAGGTTATTTCCAATCCTAGTTTACGCAAACACAAACTGTAATTAATTACTAGATAAAATTTGTTTACATTGCGCACTCAACGTCCTACCAAACTTAAGAATAAAGGTGGGAATGTTTTTTTCTTCTTTCTTTCTTAAAGGCTTCCCAACAGAATGGAAAAACTGTAAGGAGAATCCAAAATCAAAGCAAACATGTAAATAATATCTATTCCGCAACTTAACAATGTCTCACTCCAACACCAATAAAACAGAACAAGGTAAAAAAAAAAATCACTGACCAAACTTTTGCTTATAAACAAGAGCATCCCTCATCTTCAACCCAATTATGAAATCGGCTTTAGTATCCTCAACCACGTGCTCCATTTCTTGAGAAGTGAACTCCCTCTTCATCTGAACACCAATGAACACGAAAAACAAAAAAAAATCCCAACTGTTTGTAAGAACCCTAAACTCAATTTTGTGACAATAAAGAGCAGAATTGGATAAAAGAAAAAAACACGACATCAAAATTTTTACCTCAGAAATTTGATCTTGTAGGAGATTAACATCAAAGACCCAGCGTTCATGCTGCAATTTAATTCTATCTTCAAGAAATTTCCTTTCTTTGACGAGACATTGAAGCTGAATCTGCTGTTTCTGTAACAAGTGTACTAAGGAATTGAAAATTTTGTTCCACTTCGCTCGGTCTGAGGAGGCTATATCGCCTTTAGATTTCGCCATTGAACAGATTATCGGGAAGAATTTTAGAAATCAAAGCGAAGAAGAGTAGAAGACAGTAAAAGGGTTTCAGAGCTTTTTCTTATTTTTTTTCTTTCTATTTTTACAGCTGTTGGGTTTTGGTTCTGATTTCTGAGCCGCAACGGTCGAAATTTGGATGTTTATAATACGCTCCGGAATCCGAACCCGGGACTGTTTGGTAAATTCAAACAGGTGGGTCAAACTTTTACGACGCCGTTTCGTGATTCCCTTTTTTATTTCACGGTTTGTCTCTGTTCTGAGCTCTGCTGGTGTCCGTTATTTCTCGCCGAAGCTCCTCATTTCGCCGGGAAATCGTTGTTCAGAAGAGGGTAATCATTCCAAGGTAATCATCGGAGCTTTATTGTATTCCGGATTTAGATTTTTTCCCTTTTAATTCATCTAGGAAGTAGAGCTTGTTTGGGAGGATTTTATGTATCGTAATGGAGCTTCTTAATCGCCGCCTTTTACTTGGTCTATATCAGTGATTGTTTATTGGCGAAAGAAATTTTAGTAGATTGTGGAAGCTGAAATAACAGTATTAGAATGGAAGAATTGATTACAAACCATGTTTTTCAGTTGTACTGTCCATGTAATTTACTGAGGATTGGAATTGGAAAGGAGTTCGCTTCATTGCAGGAATGGTCTTAGATTGGAGGACTAATGACTGTAGTGTGAAATACTAGCTAAAGTTTATTGCTTTTGCAAACCCCTAAAAGGGCATCAACCAATTATCTTCGAGTTGTTCAATTTTAAGAACTCAATATATCGCCCTTTGAATATGCCTTGGTCATAATCACATTGCTGCCACATTTCCTGTATGTTTGTACTCACGTGCTCCCAGTTATGATGATTTTTGTGATCATCATTCTGATTGCTTTATTATATAGCTTAAACCAGATGTACATCCTCTTCATGAAGCTTTTTGGATGCTGGTTCTGTACAGGAAAGCTGGAATAGAGCATCTGCGCTCAGAGGGCTTAAAGGCCTCAGAACTGAACATGTAATTACGTTTTCCTTCTGTAGTGATGTTTTTGTTATACTGCTTTCACATTCTTGATTACAGTTTAAGTACTTTCTCTCTCCATCCTTTTAGGTGTTTCTGCTTTGCATCTTTTTTGATGATTTAGGTTCTTTTTAAGTCTTTTCCTTGCCAGAATTATCTTTTTACTACTTGGGATTAAAGTTATGACAGAATTTTGGGGTTGAAGCCGCATCCGGGGGAGGTTTAGACAAGCTGATATTCCTGCGTTCTGGTTTACTTACTATCTTCTGGTTTGCGGTCCTCCTTTAAAGGTGGAACAAGTTCTGCAGTGCAGAAAAAAAGGAATATTTTCTTTTGATGAATTCTTATTCTGCTGCTTGAAATACTTAAATCTCAAGTGGTCACAGATGGCTCGGTGTTCAACATTAGGCTGTAGATTAATGTATTTCCAAGAAAGTTTTTATCCAAAATTACAATACTCAACCGCGGTGCAACGAGTACCAGATTCTGTTGAAGCCATATCAAGCTCAAACCCACTGTACAATCTTCTCCCTGAATCTCAAAACCCGAATAACATGGTTAGTCTGATATCCCCTGTCCTAAAGCTAAAAGATGATTCTCATTTAGCCCTTTCCCTTCTCCATAAAACATTGCAAGACCAGGGGATCATTAGTCATCTGGAAGCTCCCGTCATCTCAAGGGTTCTGTTAAGTTGCCAATCTGATCCATCATCTGCTCTGACATTCTTCCAATGGGCTAGATTGGATTTGGGTCTTAAGTTAAGCACTGAAAATTTTTGCATTATTGTTCACATTTTGGTATGGTCTAAGAAGTTTTCCCAAGCTATGATGGTTTTATCTGAATTGCTAAAACTAGGCAAGGATGTTTCAAACTGTGTGGATGTTTTTAAGACTCTCCTTTTCTGCACTCAGAGCTGTAATTGGGACCCTGTTGTTTTTGATATGCTAATTAAGGCTTCTCTCAAGATGGGTATGGTTAAAGAAAGTTACAGAGTTTTTAGGAAGATGGTAAGGCTTGGATTTGTCCCTAGTGTTGTGACCATCAATTGTCTTTTGAATGGGCTTTCGAAGATGAACTATGGTAAAAAATGCTGGGAAATATATGGCGTAATGCAGAGGATTGGACTGCACCCAAACACATGTACATTTAATATATTGATGCATGTTGTATGTTTGGATGGGAATACAGATGACGTGAACACATTTTTGGAGAAAATGGAAGAAGAAGGTTTTGATCCTGATGTTGTTACTTACAATATGCTGATCGATAGCTACTGTAGAAAAAATAGGTTGAAGGATGCAATTTACTTGTACCACATAATGTATAAGAGAGGTATTATTCCTGATTTGGTTACTTATACAATATTGATAAATGGATTCAGTAAAGGAGGCGATGTTAAGTATGCTCATCAGCTATTCTTAACAATGGTTAACAGAGGTTTAAATCCGGATATTGTAGCCTATAATTCTCTTATTTCTGGTTTCTGCAAAGAAGGAATGATGAAAGACGCGAGGTCCTTGTTGCATACCATGATTGGGGAAGGGATTCAACCAGATAATTTCACTTTTTGGAGGCTTGTGGAGGGTTATCAGAAACAGGACTGTTTGATTTCAGCTTTGAATTTGATTGTGGAGCTTCAAAGATTTGGGTTTCCGGTCCCTGACGATCTATATGATTACATCATTATTGCTTTGTGCAGAGAAAATAGACCATTTGCAGCAAAGAGTTTGTTGGAAGGATTAGCAAGTGATAGCTATCGGCCCAAGCTCGGGATCTTCAGTACCTTGATATATTCCCTATGTCATTGTAACTTCTTGGAAGAGGCATTAAGGTTTGTGGCTAAGCTAGTTTCCAATAATATGAAGCCAGACTTGAGAATCTACAAAGCAGTTATTAACTCCTTGTGTAAATCAAATCGATGTATGGAGGCTGAAAACTTCTTGGGGAAACTGGGTGAGTCAGGTGTTCTACCTGATGTTGAAATTTGCAGAAATTTGGTTAATGGCTTTTGCCGAGAGAGGAATTTCGATGAAGCACACCGTCTGCTGAGATTCTTTGCTGAGAAGTTTGGTATCTTGGACACAGTATGCTATAATGAAGTCTTTAGAATCCTTTGCGAGACCGGTGACATTTCTCGAGTAATGGAATTTCAAAGCAGCATGAAAAAAATTGGGTTTGCCCCAAATGGTCTGTCATGCAAACACATGGTTGATGGTTTGCAAAATGCCTTGGCTGTACACAAGAACAATCTCAAACCCAACTAATATGTTACACACTCTTCAAGCTTGAAGGCTTATTATATCTTTTTCTGTACAATCAGTTGTATGTCACTTTTTTGGCAGCCTGAGGGATTCTAAGGAACAGCACAATCATTGTTGTACTATACTTGGGTGATTGCTGCCTTGGCGGTCTTAAAGATGGCTGCTTAATTAGCACACGTTTTATAAACGTTTTGTGCTAATAGACATGGCTGATGAACCCCACCATCAAATTGTAGCATTTGGAGTCAGCTGACACTGCCAGGGACCATGAAGTTAGTGTTTGTTAGAGGCACTTTTTCTTACTTCCCCTAGTTAGAAACTGTTCTAGTTTTGTTCAATTTCCAACTACACAATCAGGTGTAGTCATAGGGTCGATTTTCATTCAGGGCTTTTCCTCTCGATGAACAGAAAACTTTCAGTTGTACATATAATTTTATTTCAGTTTGGTAAAATGAGAAGAGGTTTTTAATTCCACAGGTGCCACTGTTATTGCTAATTTCTTTACTGTAGTTTCCAGCTTGATTTGGACGATAAAGAGAGCAGACTTGTGCGTATGCTTGGAGCTCGATCATACAATTTCTATCTTATTACGACAACTTAACTTTGGCCGCATTTTCCTTTAATTCAATTACAATTAGGGAAAATCCTAAAGGTAAAGCTGTTCTAAGCAGGGAGTTCAGAATCTTTGAAAAAAATTCAAACCCTTCTCATTCATCGTCTACCCCGATCAGATGTAACAGTCCTTAGTCCCTGCATTTCAAGAGCAACAAAGAAGAATGAGTTAACAGAAGAACCAGCTCTTTACTCATTATGTTAACCACATTGCTTATAAGCATATCACAAGAGCCATTCAATCATATGCTGGTTTCCGACCATAGCTTCTATGCTTGTGCCGCTCGGCTGTAGCAATACAGCAGAAGACAGCATAACAAACTTGGTGGTTTTATACCTCAAAATGTAGACTTGAATATCTAAGTTGCAAAAATTTGGTAGACAGTAAGTGTAGAAAGATGATCAGCAGTTACCGTTTGCACAAATTACCTTGTAGACTCAAAGAAAAGATCAACGGAAATTTCAAGGATCAGCAATTAAGGTTTGATCACAGCAGGAACATTGATGACAACTGAAACATGGTAATCCATGCTCAGATTCAGAGGTAAAAAGGACAATGTAGGGCGAAGTCTAGGTTATCATTCAATACTAGAATGCAACCCACGCCTTTTATTACAACCCAGTAACCAATTGCTTTGCTTACAAAAGCCAAGCATGGTAAAATTGTTTTAGAAGAGGTTGCGACTGTCACAATGTAATGCCTTGATACAAGAACAAGGGCCCTCTTCATCACTAATTTTTGTTCAAAATTCCAATTTTTACCTCATCACTGCCAACAACAAATCCTGCTCAGACCTTTTACTATGCCATCATATCCTCCGCCATTGCCAACAAAACTTATACGCAGGGCAAACGAATCGACATCCAAAACTGACACTTTTTGTTCTTCAAAACAAAATTACAACAGAACCCACAACCATTTATCAAAATTTTCATGTTTAGAAAGCAATTTGGAACTCATTGGGGTTAAAAATTCGGTTTTGGCCAGGAGGGTGGCTGAAAAAATCCATTCTTGATGACTAAAGTATGCAGCAAGAATGGCAGATTTGAGAAGGTTATAATAAAGCTAAAACAGCTTTCAGAAATTGCTAAAATATGTAATGAACTGAGAAAGAGGAGATCTTAAGCTATTTTATATCGTAGTAGCTCGAGGAATTTACAAGTAATCTTTACCTAACCGGAGTATCTTTCGGCGGCCTTTGGAATACAGCCTACCACGGCGGCGCCCTTTTTCCTCTGTTATGCTAAAGTCTAGGGCTGCCTGCTTTTAAATGGGATTGTTAGACGGTGGCGTCTTCTCTTGGAGGGGCACGGACAACCCTCAAACTTTGTCAAATAAATGGGAAAATAAAAAGATGTAAATACTACCAAAATATTAGGAAATCTGATCCTTAGGATTCCATTTTTTTATTACCTTGAGTCATTAAGTTGCAATTTTATTGACCAAAATTATCAATATATAATGAAGTAGTATTATATATGTAACGAGGGATGATAAAAACAGTATAACTTTTAGTAAAATAAGACAATGACAAATAAAAATACAAATTTATCGCATTTTAATCCTAATAACTATTGCATTGAACGTTTTTATTGTTTGTATATGTAGCACATCAATAGCTATACATTTATAGTACTTAATTAAAGCAGTAAACGAAAAAGACATGTGTTAGCACCACAATGAAAATTTTCCCGCCAAAAGTCATTTTCAGTTCAAAATCATTTTTGACACGTGGCACTCTAACTAATCAGACAAAAAAAAAGATGGAATAGATAAATACATAAATCTCTTAATTATAGCTATATAAAAATCTCTTAATTATAGGTATATACTAATCCCTTAAAACAACAATATTTAGTTGATAAAATTAAATGTAAGGAAATTTACTTAAATCAAGTGAAACACAGTAATGTCTTTCCAATCCCCAATTTTAAAGGATCTCTTCCATTCCGCTCCTCTCTCACACCCGGACCTTTAAATCAATTACTTAAAATCTGGCATCAATTATCAATCCATCTCTTTCTACAACAGTAAAAAAATAAGCTGTCATGAAAGAAATTTGATTTTTTAAGGATGATTTTTTTTATTTTTAAATGTTATAGATATTGGTTTATGATTTATGTAAACCCAGGCATAAGTTAACTGTTGTAAATTAAATGTTGTAAATCTGGGCATAGATTTATGTGTAATAACACACTTCCTGTCTTTTTAATCAATTTTTTATTCTTCTATTCTTTTTTCTTTTAAGAATGATTCGTATTTTTTATTTAATCAATTAAAAAATACAGGCAGCCCCCGAACATTCGCCCGGGACAAGCATCTAGTATATTTTATTGAAATATATTTCTTTTTGTTATGTAATAACGTAGAAAATAGAATGGATTTTGGTAAACTTTCAATCCTCATATAGTCATATTTCCTTAATTAGCCATCATCATCAATCAATATGGTAAGGGTTTTTTTTTCAAAAAACAAATAAAAGAAAAACTATGGTAAGGTTTTAGTTGTCTCTTCAATTCCATTAAATAAATGTTTTCTTGCGGCATAATCTTTTTCCCTTTTATTTCCGCCATTTTGACCATAACCATCAAATGCACCGAGGCAGAGTTGCAGTCGCTGTAGTTTGTATGTGTTCATCCTCCATTAAAAAGGTCCAATCCTCTCTGGTTTCTTTCAAATTAACTTCCCCTCTCCCTAGTTTCTTGGTTATACTAATATGTGAACCTGAACTTGAACGGTTGAGTCGTTGACTTTTTTCTTGCATTTTTTTTTTATAAAAAATTTCACTTTTGACTAGGAAGAGGTCTACAGTGCAATGAACTTTTATATTCAAGTCTTTTCTTTTAGATAGTTTGGAAGATATTGTGTAGGATTGATGATGATGGTCTTATACCTTAATTCAAATCTAGTGCCTAAAGTACTTTTAAGACAATTTTGAGTCTTAATAATCAATTTTACGTTTTAATTGAACAAATCCGACTTATTTCAGTGCTTTTCTCCTTCATTTTTTTTAACTAATCTTTATATAGTTGGAGATATATGACAAAAAATCTCAAAAAGAACAGTTCTACTACCAGGCAAGTTGACTGGATGCCCACGTGTCAGACTCATGTCCTGTGTGACCGTACGTTCCATTCTAGACTAGAACTGAACCCCCAATTAAACCATCCTCAACAAAGTTTAAACAGAAACAGAGCACCAGTTACTTTGATCATCATCATCATCATCTGTTTAATCCGACGATGAAAACTAAAAAATGCACCAAATTGATTCATGCGGGGGTTAATTCCATTTTTTGAGTTCTTTTTTGAGCTTGTCGATAATCTCAAAAGACATAAAATTTCATAATCTCCAAAAGCCAAAACAAACAAATCAAAATCCCGAAGCAATTTTTCGGTGAGTCCTAAAGCTGGGAAAAGAGGTAAGTTGGTTTCTGTACTTTTGTGGGTTTAATTTGGAATTTGCAGTTTGCACTTTGCACAACTTCAACCAAGACAAAAACGAAAGTCCTCAGATTCATAATCAATCGGATATCCCAAGAAAATCCAACGTGTGTACTCGTGGGCAGGGGCGACCCTTTACACATTTTTTAAGTTAAATCATTTCTACGTTCCATATTTTACACTCTTTGTCAGGCCAGATAAAAAAAAAAAAAAAAAGGCCCTCCATTGTCCCTGTTCTAAGCTTTAATTATATACGACAATTTTTTCCCAATCTTTTTTCTTCCTTTTTGCCCTTTTTGTGATTTATTGACTGCCCTTTTTAGCAGTTTAAACGTTATTAGTTTTGATTTTGTATTTAGTGTTTGATATTAGTTTAGTTTATCACTGAAATATAGGGTCTGTCACACCTACAGCTAGCTCACCAACCACGCCCCATGAGATTCATGACCATATATAAATTGCTTTGTTTAATTTCGAGGTCCCCTTCTTTCCGTTCATTCATTTTCATTCATTTTTATTCAACTCAGGAAAAACTTTGGTTTACGCTTTTGCTTTGTCACTGCCTACTCATCTCTTGCTTAGAGCTTTGGAAGTCTGAAAACTCTCTCAACCCTCCCCAGGTTGTTGCTTCTCCTTTATCAATTTTTTCATTTTGTCTTATATTTTTCTGCTTTGATGTTGTACATATTTTAGGATCGTAGCTTTAATCTACTCCAATGAAATTGCAAGAATGGTTTTTTATCTGTTTATGTTTATGAGACTGGCGGCTGTCTGAGTGAATATTCTCACTGTTAAGTTGTTCTGTATCTTTTTTGCTTTAGCAGCTGCATAAATGTTTAGATCTTTTAAGTTTTAGTGATCTTTTTACAGAAGCCCCAAAAATTATGGAAAGAGGATCCTGCATTGTATTTATGTATGGAGTATTATGGAGTAATATGGAGTTCGATGTATTTTCTTCTTAGTTTACCATCAAAGGAACAATCACTATGGTGTTAATATGCTCTAGTTTGAATCGATTTCAGAAGTTACAAAGTGATTGCCCATTTTTATAGGTTAAAGATGTAATCTTCCCTGTGAGTTTTTATGATGATCATGGTTTCCTGTTATGCCCACTTCGTTTAGCCCTACCAATTTTATTTTCCTTGTAGATTTTGTGGAGAAATCAAGCTATCCTGTTCTGCCCACGTGGTTTAGCCCTTTCATAACATGTCATTTGATTGTCACAAATACTTACTATTGTGTTCTTTGATGGCTCAAACTTTGGTTCGTTTGGTTTATCCAGTATTGATTTTGATTTGTACAGAAAGTTCAAGACTTTACTGTTGATGATTTCTCATTTTCTGCCGTTTGATGTTTCAGTTTCATTGAGGAATTGGTTTCTTTCTTTTGAGTCATAATAATACTGAGAATCCTTGCAATTTGTCTGGATGGCGCCCACTGCTCCGGATGGATCTCAAACTGGGAATGGAACTGTCAAGCATTTGGAATCTGTGACGTCCTTACTTGAAACTGAAGACCCTGATTTGTTCAAATTATTAGACAAATCTAGACCCCTTAAGATAGAGAGGAAGAGATCTTTCGATGAAAGATCCTTCAGTGAAATGTCGCTTACAAATTCACCTCGTCATTATAGTCGTAACGAGAATTCTTCCCGTGCATACGAACATCTTGATGGTATTTATTCTCCTGGGAGAAGATCCGGTTTTAGTACTCCAAGATCAAACATTTTCTTTGAGCCACATCCTTGTGTTAACGAAGCATGGGAGGCCTTGAGGCGCTCTTTGGTTTACTTCCACAAGCTACCAGTTGGGACAATTGCTGCATTGGATCATTCTGCAGAAGAACTAAACTATGATCAGGTGAGATTCTTGTATTACAAATTTGTTATGTTTTCCAACCAAATGCTAGGAAGTAGCTTTAACTGGATAGTTGTGGTTCAGAATAAACAATTATTGTTGTAAAAAAGCCAGTGTGGTTGATGATTTGAGATGTAATATCTTCTTTGATTTCTTTTTACAATGAAAAATCCTGTTCTGTAGCTGTCTTTTGCCGGATGCTGTAATATGTTTTAGGCCTTCAATGAGAAATACTGTGCCCTGGTGGTACCTTTTTCACCCTGTAGGCCTGTACTATGGAAAAAAACTTAAAGTTGGGGGTTTTTAATCTGATTTCAACTGAATCAATTTGCAGGTATTTGTGAGAGATTTTGTGCCCAGTGCTCTGGCGTTCTTGATGAATGGTGAGCCAGAAATAGTGAAAAATTTTATCTTGAAAACACTCCGCCTCCAATCATGGGAGAAAAGGGTGGACCAGTTCAAATTAGGGGAGGGAGTCATGCCAGCAAGTTTTAAAGTACTCCATGACCCCGAAAGGGGCACAGAAACATTGATTGCAGATTTCGGCGAAAGTGCTATAGGTAGAGTGGCTCCTGTAGATTCCGGCTTTTGGTGGATCATTTTGCTTCGTGCATATACCAAGTCAACGGGAGATACTTCCTTAGCTGAAATGCCTGCCATCCAGAGGGGTATGCATCTTATATTGACATTGTGCCTTTCTGAAGGCTTTGATACATTTCCGACGCTGCTATGTGCTGACGGGTGTTGTATGATTGATCGAAGAATGGTCAGTATATCATTTATTTCTCTTCTTATACATAACAAATTCCTTATCCTATTGCTTGTCACTTTATAGTGTATCTTCAGCGTTGCACCAACAAGAGTATGGATTAATGTCTTATGGATTGCTTAGCAGATCTGTATTAGACATTAATTTGATAGATGAAAGTAGTTAACCTCCTTTATTTAAACAATAAATGCCATCTTATGAAGACACGGTATAGGTCTTGCAAATCTAAAAGCAACATGAAGGTTGAACTGATGTTTTACCTCCTTTAACTCCGTTTGAGACATCTTTGAAATGTTCATTCCAAGTTGTGCTTTTCAGGGTGTTTACGGTTATCCTATTGAGATACAAGCACTGTTCTTTATGGCGTTGAGATGTTCATTGTCTCTACTCAAGAGTGATGGCGAAGGGAAGGAATTCATTGACAGAATTGTGAAACGCCTGCATGCTTTGAGCTATCACATGAGGAATTACTTCTGGCTAGACATTAAGCAGCTCAACGACATATACCGTTACAAGACCGAAGAATACTCTCACACTGCGGTGAACAAGTTCAATGTGATGCCCGACTCACTCCCAGATTGGGTATTTGATTTCATGCCAACTCGCGGTGGTTACTTCATTGGAAATGTGAGTCCGGCAAGAATGGATTTCCGCTGGTTTTGCTTGGGAAATTGTGTTGCGATTCTATCATCCCTAGCAACTCCTGAACAAGCTTCAGCCATAATGGATCTTATCGAGTCTCGCTGGCAAGAACTTGTTGGCGAAATGCCTCTGAAAATTTGTTACCCGGCTATGGAAAGCCACGAGTGGAGAATAGTAACCGGATGTGATCCAAAAAACACCGGTTGGAGTTACCATAATGGTGGCACTTGGCCAGGTTAGTAGACCAATGCATAATTTTTCCCTCTCTTTTTTTTTTTTTTTTCCTTCTTCCTAGACTATTGTATGTACATTAAGCAAACCAAGTAAATCTTTGTATCTATGTGGTTGCAGTCCTTCTATGGCTCCTAACTGCTGCCTGCATCAAGACCGGACGGCCACAAATCGCACGGCGCGCCATTGAACTCGCTGAGAGCCGGTTGTTGAAAGACCACTGGCCGGAATACTATGATGGAAAGCTAGGACGATATGTTGGAAAACAGGCACGGAAGTTTCAAACGTGGTCCATCGCGGGTTACTTGGTGGCTAAAATGATGCTTGAAGATCCATCCCATTTGGGCATGATTTCATTGGAGGAAGACAAACAGATGAAACCCATCATGAAAAGATCTGCATCCTGGGTTGCATGATGATGCTAAATTATCCTTAGTAGGCTTTTTGAACATTTTGCAGACACTTTAAACTTCAAATTTCCGTAAGATGCCGTTTTCAGCACACTGTTTTGCCTCTTACTTTCTCCCACGTTGCGAATTACACAATACTAATAGAAATGATGATTATAAGTCGATGTTAATTGAGAAATTCTTGTATAATATACGATCACATTTCACTTATTACATCGTGCCGGTAATTGACACATCTATTACAACCATAGAAAATAGTTTCACCATCGTGCCGGTAATTGACACCCGTAGTACAACCATGGAAAACAGCTTTACTTTATTACATCATGTTGGTAATTGAAACCCTCTATTACAACCATGGAAAACAGCTAGACTGTTCATCACTACTTACTCCAGCTGGTGGGATTAGCGACTTGTCAAAACTCTAGATTTAGTTGCTTGATTGATGCTTGGCTACAGCCATAAGATTCTCTTTTCCAATTTTGCTAATTTCTACCATTTTGGCATCAAACTTGATCACTCCCAATCAAGTGTAACCTTGGCAAAACGATTGACAACTCATCGGTAACTTTGCATTAAAAATAAACGGGAAAGCATAAATTTCACTAGTCTATATGAGTATGTGGAATGGTTTATCACCCATGCATGATGTCACAAAACATAATTTATTTTTTTAAAAAAAAAAAAATATTTTACCATGATAATGATAATTTCGTAGAGATAACTGGTTTAGGTGGCAATGCCGTAATAGTACTATATGCCAAGTTAACTATGACGTGATATGGGCGTACAACAGTAATTCAATTTTTTCTAATCTAAGAAAAATTTTGCTTCTCTAAAGAAATCTATTCACCTCCTACTCGACACGTATACAAAGGTTATAACTTCGTGGTAAATAGTTAAAAACTAAAGCAAATCAAACAACACTAGAATCTAGATGCGAAGGTAAGCAAAGCTAGTTAGTAGTACACCTTCCCTCCATACCAAACTTTCAAGTTAATTTCCGTAATTTGCAAAATCTCGAAACTTCTTCCAACAAGAATGAGAACTATTTGCATCGATCAAAATTTGCCTGCTTTATTCTTATTTTGTCCCTATAAATTCCACCATTTGGTAATATCACTAAGCCTCAACCAAAGGTGCTCAAAAAAGTAAAGAAATCCTTCACAAAATTCATCAAATTTTTTGTAATTTTTCTTAGAATAATAATGGCTTCATCCAAGCCTTTGATCGTTCCTTTGCTGCTTCTCTCAGTCACTGGCACGCTGTTTGTGCATGTTCTTCAAGCAGCTGATGATCTCTCAATGGTTTGGTGTCTCTTCCCCAGTTTTTTTTTTTTTTTTTTCATTTGATTAATTTCAACAATTTAAAACTTTTTTTCTCCTTAATGTTTTTTGCCTGCAGTTTGAATTTGACACTTCTCTACTCAAACAAACCGACATAGGTGCGCTCCCTCTTGCTTTTTTTTTTTTTTTTTTTTTTTTGGTTTTTTGTTTGTTAAGCATATAGATTGTTGCGTGCCTTGAATTCCTTAATTCAATCTAATGAATTATGATCTCAACAATCGACGCTAAAAGAGTCAAATTAGTGCACTTTTTTATTTTTTTTCTTGCATTATTAGCATTGTATTACCTTTTTTTTTTTGGTAGACAAACAGCCTAAACACTGAAAGAGAAATTACTTTATATTTTACAAGAGTTCATTACATCCGACTCTAATAATACATTTATACATTTAGGGGGAACATCAAAAGAATATAACCCCCTACGTAATCCTAATGCCTCCTTAGAAAGGGTATCCACACACAAGTTATTTTGTCTACTTGTATGCTCAAAACGCACAATCCAGTTCATACGCAAGAGGTTGTAAATTCCTCTTAATTTTGGATCTAGAGGAGTTTGTGCATGTTCCCTAAGTTGATTGACTAGATCAATTGCAACTTGAGAGTTAGACTCCACTACTAATTTTGTGATCCCCAAATTTCTTACAACTTCTAATGCCAGGAGAATTGCCCTCAGTTCAGCTGTATCTATTGAACAAACCCCTTCATTCCTGTTAAACCCCTTGACGAAACTCCCTTTGTCATCCCGGATCAAACCCCCAATTGCAGCCTTGCCAGTATTTGTACAGACTGCACCATCACAATTTGCCTTTATCCACTCTGGTTGGGGCTTCCTCCAACCTTGCATGTTCTCCCTGCCGCATCTTATTCTTTGCCATTTGAGTAATTTTTTACTTTGTTCTATCTCCACAGACATATGCATTACCTTTCTAATTGCATTATTTGCATTCATTATACTACCAGTAAAAATTTACCATTTCTCCAACTCCAAATAAGGCAGCAAGTAGCAGCAAAATTAGCCCTCCACCTTAGATCATCTGCTTCAAGATTGCTCTGTATCCACTGTTTTAAATCTTGTTGGAAAAACATTTGCCTCCTATTACTTGGCAGCAGCTGGAGCCAAATATCCCTTAGTAGTGTACAATCCCTTAGAGCATGCAAGGTAGACTCCACTGCCCGATTACAACCAGAACAAGTATCAACTGAAATCGCTCCTCTCTTTCTACACAACTCATTAGTTGGTAGTCTTCCATGCAACGCCAGCCACAGGAAGGTCTGGATCCTTTGAGGCCCTCTCCAACTCCATGCTTTTCGCCAATCCCGATCTACCTGCAAAACAGAATCGTCACAAACTAGAGAGTAAGCTAATTTTAATGAAAACTTACCCATTTTGCTAAACATCCATCTGGGTTTGTCCTTGCCCAAACTCTCCATAGGTGGTGGCATACTACAAATTCGAGCTACCAATTCACCACTTAAAAACGTGGTCAACTTTGCATTATCCCAACTCCCATTCGGCAATGTGAAGTATACCATTGGTTTCTCCCTCCATTCATCTGGAATGCACCTGATAGTTTGATCAACAAGCTTCCCATACCCTCTATCCAAGCATCTCCCCAAAATCTAACCGTTCTGCCATTCCCTATTATCCAGGTCAATCCCTTCATCACCAAATGGAACACATCAAAGACGCCTTTCCAAGTATAAGAAGCATTCTTATTCCTCCTCAAAACTAGAGAGCTACCTTCTTGCTTACAATACTTAGCCCTGAGTACCTGGACCCATAACTCATCCTCTTTACGTATCAATTCCCACCCAATCTTCATAAAAAATGCCAATGTTACTCTCCCTTGCTTTCCTAAGCCCCAGACCTCCTTTTTCTTTCGGCATACATATTGTATCCCATTTCACTAAATGTAGCTTCCTCTTATCAATAGTCGAACCCCACACAAAATTCCTCACAAGCTTATCAATCTCATCACAAATATACTCTGGAAGTTTAGTCGATTGCATTTGGAATATTGGAATCGTTTGTAAGCATGATTGGGCGAGTGTTATTCTCCCGGCCAGCGATAGTTGGTTGGCTTTCCAGCTGGAATTTGTATTACTCTTTGCGTTCCACTATAACACTCATGTTCGTACTCTTATTTTTTTGACGAAGATAGTGACAGTTATACTGTAAATTGTACTTGAAATGTTGAATAATATTGTATGTGCTAATAACTGAACTTTAATGGGGATTTGAATTTTTTTTTTTTATTTTGTTGGTTCATTAAGATTGTGATTCAGCATGCAATGCGAGGTGTTCGGAGAGTAACAGGGCAAAGATATGCAAAAGGGCATGCTGGACATGTTGTGCCCGGTGCCACTGTGTGCCGCCGGGAACTTCCGGCAACCAGGACGTTTGCCCCTGCTATGCCAACATGACCACCCACGCTGGCAAGCGCAAGTGCCCTTAAAATTGAAGGCTAATAATGTTGGAATAATTATTACTGATTCATGAAGATTATAAGCTGTGGAAAGGAAGTGGATGATATTTTTTCTTAATGTATGTATTACTATCATTATAAAGTTGGGTTATTTAAGGTGCTTTGGATTTGTTAAATAAATAAGAGTGAACTGTCATGGAGGTCACTAAACTATCGAAATATATGTGGTTTAGTCACCACACAAAAAAAATACCACGGAGGTCATTATACTCATGAATATTGTGGATGAGTGACCTTTACTAAAGTTTTAGCTAGCTTCTTACGTCGAAACATCTTCACAAAAAAAGAAATTAAAGCAGAGTTAGTGTTGTTAGTAAGTTCTCACAAAATGTCCCATACATATAGGCCCAATTTTTGTCTAAAACATTTGAAAACGTATATTTTTGTCCCATTTCGTCTAATAATTAAATGTGATTTTTTAATTATTTATGCCTCAAGTCAACATTCCGTGCAACCGACCGTTAAAAAGCAGGACTCAAAGACTCAAATTTAAAGCTTAGTCCTTACGGCCCATACGACCACCGTCCCAAACTGATAAGCAGCTTGAACCCTCATTTGAACCAAATCCGGCCCAAGGCCCAAGTTCAAATTTAAAACAAAAAACAAAACTCACAACTATTATTCATTTCCACGACAAGTTCTCAAGCTAGGTCGAAATACCATTTTGTTTGTTTGTTATTTGGGAAGGGGGAAGAAGGGGAGGTGTTGTACTTAATAAATCAACATCCAGAATGAAAGCGAAAAAAAGAGAAAATTTATTATTAAAAAAAAATAAATAAAAGAGCCACAGTAATAGAAGAAATCTTCGGAGAGATATTTCAAAATTTCAATTTTATTTTTATATTTTTGGTTTAAGAGATATTTCAACTTTATTTTAGTTTTTTTTTTTTTGGTTGAATTTTCAACCAAGTGGAGAGAACCAAATCTGAAAAAAAATTAAAAAGCACACCTCTCCATGTCTTCCTGTTGGAATATTATTTTGCGGACCAAAATATAGTCACTCACCAAATGTGACCTTTATATATTATTAGGATGGGATGGGGAGGGGATATACAAATTACTGCTGTAATTTTTAATAATGGATGTATCCAGTATACCCGGGGGCACCGTGCTCCCCTCCTATTTTTTGCACGAGTAGTCCTTATTGTACCTTTTTATCATTCTTTCTATATTTTACACGTTTAGTCCCTGTGACTTTTTTTCTCTCTCCTTTAAAAGATATCTTCAATCTTTCAATGAGTATATCTCATAATCCGTAAAGAATTAGAGAACGTGTTATGCATGAAAATTATAGTACTCGTCGAGATCTATTCAACAAGATCCATTTCGAATATTTTTTTTGAGTTTAAAAATGACTAAATTTTGATGGGCAGAATAAGTTGAATATCCAGTAAGTTGGATAACCAGTACAAACAAGTTGGATAATCAGCATGAACACAGTAGATAACCAGTACAAATAATTTGGATAACCATGTAAAT